AGGACCCACCCTGTTCCCCTCAAACCCTCTCCCTGACCCCCCAAGCTGCCAGCTGGACCCCCCAGCTGCCTCCAGCCCCCCCAACCCCCCTCTCCAGTTACCCCCAGCCCCCGCCCCGGCGCACTCACGGCTTTGCCGGGCCGTGCCCAGGTGCAGATGAGCCCCTCCTGGCAGGCGGTGACGATACAATCCTCCAAGAACAGCAGCACGGTCAGGCGCTCGTGGGCGATCTTCTTGCAGACGAGGGGTTCCAGCAGCGGCACCTCGTGAATTCGGGGGCACAGCGCCGTCCCCAGCACCTTGGCCGTATCCAGCCGAGCCCTGGATCCGGCACCGCCGGGGGGTTTCTCCCCGCTCCGGCTGATGTTCCCCAAACTGTGGTAACGTTTGTGCTCTTTTTCAGCACCGGAAGGTCCCTTCCGTTCCTGCAGTGTCAGCGTGGCGAAACGACCGACGCTAAAAGCCGGGGGGACGTCGGGTGGGGGGCAGCGGGCTGAGCCCGTCCCCCCCGGCTGCGGGAGGCTGTTGGAACGGGAGAGCGAGCGGGGCAGCCCTGGGACAGGAACGCCGGCATCCGTCGATCCGGTGAGGGTACGGGCGCGGGAGAGGGGGGGACGAGGGTAGAGGACGTCCTCGGTCAGGTCCCACAGGCAGAACTGGGTGTCTTGGCCGGCCGAACCGAAGCGGTAGGTGACGGCGGGGGAACGGCGGACGAGGGGATCCGGGGGCTCGTCCTCCTCCTCGCCCCCACTCAGCTCGGGGGGTTGGGGGGTCTGAGCCGCTCCGGTGAAAGGATCGAAGGCCACAGCGTTGACCCAAGACTTGTGACCGTGACCTCGGGCCACCACCCGCCCTTCGGCAAAGGACCAGACGGTCACCAAATCATCCTCGCCCCCCGTCACCACGTAGCGCCCGTCGGGGCTCCAGCAGACGCAGAGCAGCCCCCCGAAATAACTCTTCATCATCCCCTGCAGCAGCATGGAGTCAAAATGGAAGACGCGGAGGCAGCCGTCCTGGCTGACGCAGGCCAGCGAGCGCCCGTCCGGCGAGAAAGCAAATTCGTTGAGGGCTCCCTCGCCCACCGCCCATTTGAGGAGGGGGTTTCGGGGGGTCTTGCTCTTACAGGCGAAGACGCTGAAGCCCTCGCCCTGCGTCAGGAGGTTGTACTGGGGGGCCGCGGCCCCGCAGGGCTGCTCAGCGTCGTACAGGTAGAGGTGGCCGCTGGCGTGGGAGGCCAGGAAGAGCCGCTCGGTCTCCGGCAGCCATTTGACAAAAGTCACCTTCGTTTTGTCGATCAGGCGCTGCGGGGTGGGGGGAGAGGGGGGGTGTCAGGATTGGGCCCCCCCTGGAACGTTTGGGGACCTGAATGGGGATGGTTGGTGATGGGAGTGTGTGCTGCGGACCAGCCCGGGGGTGTCACTGAGGGCAAAACTGGAAAAAAAAAGGGTGTTTGGGGACCCAAATCCACGTTGTGGTGCAGCCCCGGAGTGTCACTGAGGGGAAAGCCCAAAGTGCCACGTTTGGGGACACAACCGGGGACGTCTGGGAACACGAGTGAGGGCTGCGGCACAACCCTGGGGTGTCACTGAGGGTGAAAATCCCCAAAAGGGGCATTTGGGGACGGGAATACTCGCGACGGCGCAGCCCTGAGGGGCCCTTAACGAATACAGACCTTAACGACCTCCGGCCCTTCCGGCACCGCCCTGAGCGCCGGGGGCACCCCGGTGTCCCCACTGCGTGTGTCCCCCCCTCCCAGTGCCACCGCGGGCGGGGCTCACCTCCTCGTTGAAGAGTTTACTGGTGTCCTTCTTCACCAGGTCGAGGTACTGGACCTGCCCGGCGGAGAAGCCCACCAGCAGCGCGATGGTGTCGGCGCCCGCCGTGAACTGGTTGAAGTCGTGGCAGGTCGGTTGGGTCCCCTTGTAAATGCGTTTGTCGATGGGTTTGTGCAGGTCCAGGGACTGGGGGGACACGGGGGTGTCACCGGGGGGGGGACGGGACACGGGGGTGTCACCGGGGGGGGGGGAATGGGACACGGGGGTGTCACCGGGGGGGGACGGGACACGGGGGTGTCACCGGGGGGGGGACGGGACACGGGGGTGTCACCAGAAGGACACACACACACACACACGGGGATGTCAGCAGGGGGGGGGGACACACGTGGGGGTGTCACCGGGAGGAGGAGGACACAGGGGTTTCACTGGCGGGGGGGGGGACGGACATGGGGCTGTCACCGGGGACACGCACACACGGGGGTGTCAAAGGGGGGGAACGGGACACGGAGGGCTGTCACCTGAGGACACACACACACACGGATGTCAGCGGAGGGGGGGGGACGGGACACACGGGGGTGTCGCTGGGGGGGGACACACGGGGGTGTCACGGGGGGGGGACCCTCCCGTCCCCTCGGGAGGGGCCTTGGCCCTGAGTCGCTGCTGCCAAGCCCCGGTGTCACTGTATTCCCCGCCCGCAGCTGGCTCTTAAGGGGGTTGGGGTCCCCGTTACCGGCGCTGTCCCCACGAGCAGCCGGTTTTGGAGGGGTCGCCGTTACCGGCCCCGGTTGTCCGCACCCCCCCGCTGGACCCTGCGCCCGGTAGCGGCCCTACGACCCCCTTTAACAGCCCCCGTGTCCCCGTCACACGCTGCCACCCGGCTCCCCCCACACCCCGCCGCTACCGACAGGCTCCTCCCCCGCTTCCCCCGTTACCCGGCGGCTGCCGCGACCACCGGAACCGGCCCCGCCGTAGAAGTAGAGCTCACGGCCCAAGTTGAAGCAAACCCGGCTACGCTCAGCCGGACCCCCCGGTTCCTCGGCGGGCGGCAGCGCCAACCGCACCATGGACAACCGCACCGGCGGCAGCGCGGCCGGGCCCGGGGAGGCGGCGGCGGCGGGGCCAGGGCCGGCGGCGGGCGGGGAAGGCCCGGGGGCGGCGGCGGGGCCGGCGCGGGCGCGGGGCTCGGGCCCCAGCAGCCGGTAGGAGCCTTCCCGGGTGCGGAACTGGCTCTTGAGCTCCAGCGGCTGCGCCGGGAGCGCCGCGGGACCCTCGGCCGCCCCCGGGGCCGCCGCCGCCATCTTCCCGCCGGAAGGGCGTCCCCGCCCGCCGGAAGCGCCCCGCCCGCCGCCACCGGTTGCCGTAGCAACGCGCTGAGTCACGCGTGGCCACACCCCCCTGCTCGGCAACACCCACCGATAGCTGCAGGCCACGCCCCCCGGTAGCACCCATATAGGGACTGGCCACGCCCCCGCCGAAACCACGCCCCTCAACGGCATCCACCGATGGGCAGACCACGCCCCCTCAGCAGCACCCACCGATGGGGCAGACCACGTCCCCCGCCGAAACCCCGCCCCGCGCTCAAACCACGCCCCCTCGGCAGGCCCCGCCCCCCCCGGCGCCCCAAGTGCCTCAGGGTGCGGGTTGGGGGGGGGAAAGGGGGATCAAGGGTGCCCCCCCAAAACAGACACAGCCCCAGAACTGCTCCCACACCTTTATTGAGCACAGCACCCCAGGGTGCTGAGCGGGGACGGGACACATCCCTCTCCCCCCCTTCATCCCTCTGCCGGCCCTGGGGGGGCATCGGGGGCCCCCCCGGGGGGCACCTCAGGGCTCTGGGTGCCAGGCGGGGGGGGCTCCGAAGAGGGTGGGGTGCTGGGGAGGGCCTCAGCTGAGGGGGGCTCTGTGCTGGTAGGGGGGTCCTGGGTAGAAAAAAAGCAAGGGGGGGAGTCGTGGTGAGAGATGGGTGCCCCCCCCACACCCCCCCCAGCACCCTGCCTGCCCCTCTTGGGGTGTGGGGGGGCGCATACCTTGGGGGTGGCTGTGGGGGGGTCGAGGGTGCCATCAGGGGGGGACCCAGCCCCCCCTGAGCTCTCCTCATCCTCAGGGACGCTGATGAAGATGGGGGGGGGCTCAAGGTCGGCCCCCCCGAGATCTGGGGGTGCCTCAGAAGGGGGGGGGCGCAGCGCTGGGACACCCCCCGGGGCTGGAGGCACCGTCTTCCCTTTGGCATCTTCCTCACCCAGCTGCTTGGGGGGCTTCTCCTTGAGGGGGGGGGTGCACAGAGGGAAGTGTGAAGGGGAGCCCCCCAGCTCACCCCATGGCCCGGGGGAAGCTGGGGGACCCCCCCCCACCCCCAATATACACCCCCTTCATGTACCCCCACCTCTCCGGGGGGGCCCTCCCGGGCGTCGGGCTCATGGCGGGCAGAAGCTTCGAGGATGGCCATGGTGGAGAGCGGGATGTGAGCTTGCTGTGGCAGGGGGGGACACACACACGCAGAGGAATCAGTTGAGGGTAGAGACCCCCCCCCCCTCCCCCCCAAGGCATGCTGGGGGGTGCTGTCACCTCCCGGGGGGGCGTTACCTGGTGGGGGGTGAGGGCGCGGACGTGGCTGAGCAGGGGTTCGCGCAGCTCGGGGCATTTCTCAAAGATGGCGGCCAGCTGCGGGGGGGGCAGCTGCAGCACCACCTGGAAGGACTGAGGCTTCGTGCGCTGGCAGCACTTGATGAAGCCCTCCCAGACTTTGGGGTACTTCCACACCTGGTGGGGGGGGCAAAATGGGGGGGTCAGGGAGGGCCTCCCCCCGCTCCTGCAGCCCCCAGGGGAGAGGGGATGGGGGGGGGGGAGGCCACCCATGGGAACAGCCAGGGATAGGACGGACAGACAGAGCGAGCCAGGGACAGCAGGAAGGGATGGAGGGACACCTGGGGAGGGGATGGACAGGATGGACATGCACACCTTGGGACAGGGGGACAGGACAGACAGAGCCCCAGCGGGCCGTAAGGACGGGGTGCCCACACCCCCCTCTCCCCCTCCAGACCCACAACCACCTGCTGGCGACACCCAAGCGACCCCCGCCCCGCACTCCAAAGCGTTTGGACAGACAGACGGACGGCCAGACCTGCTTCATGATGAGGCGGGAGAGGATGTTCATGACGAAGCCGCCGAGGCGGGGGTACATGGTGAGCGCCTGGATGACGGTGCGCATGAGCAGCATGGGCAGCGGGCTCTGCTCCATCAGCTGCTGCATCACCACCGCCAGCACCTCCGACGTGTAGACGTTCCGCTCGGCGAAGCACAGGTTGGTGGCTACGGGGGGACAAGGTGTCACCTCCCCCCAGCGTGTCGCCCCCACCCCACCGCCCCCCCTCTCCACGCCTCAACCTTTGATGATGGATTTCATGTCGCACTTGGAGGAGTCGATGTTGTGCAGGGCGATGAGCAGCTCCCCTGGGTTCAGCGGGGACACAGCCGAGGCACCGTCACCTGCGAGGGGACAGCATGGGGGTGGCCCTGTCACCTCGGGGGTGGCGAGGTGGGGGTTGATGGGTGCTTGGTCCTTCCCCACCATGGTGGCTCCAGAGGTGACGATCGTCCCTGGGGTCACCTTGGGTGCCCTGCAGGCCATCGCCTGTGTCCCATCACAGGGAGGTCCCGTGTCTCCAAGGAGTCCCACCCCAGGGAGGTCCCATGTCCCCACAGTGAGCACTGGGACTGTCCCCGTGGTGTTCCATCCCGAGGAGATCCTGTGTCCCCAGTGAGCACTGGGACCGTCCCCATGGTGTCCCACCCCAGGGAGGTCCCGTGTCCCCACAGCGAGCACTGGGGAGGTGCCAGACTCCGTGTCCCACCCCAGGGCTGTCCCTGTCCCCTACCATGTTGTGTCCCCAGCAGGCGGTTGAAGACCTCCTTGACCACGATGGGGTTGAGCTTGATGAGTTTGGGCAGCGCCTGGATCACCTCTTTCTGCACCCGAAACAGCAGCACTCAGCAGGGTGGGGCGACACACATATGGGGAGGGGACACCAGGGGAGGGGACACCAGGGGAGGGGACACTCTGACCTTCTCCAGCCCATTGAGGACGGGGATGAGGAACCTCACATCTGGCAGCCGCTTGTGATAGAGGTCGCGGACCCTCTTCACCAGCTCAGGCGAGGGGGGCACTGCCGGGAGGGGGGGGGATGGTGTGACACATCACCGTGGGGCACACGCCACCCCGCCACGTCCCCCCCATCCCCTACCTTTGTCCGTCAGGCTGTGCAGGCAGCGCGTCACCAACGTCTCGGCTCCCTTGGGGCAATTCTCCACCAGCAGCAGCAGCTCGGGCGAGTTCATCCCCATCCCGCGGATCTAGAGGAGCCACCACTGGTGTCACCGGGCCACCGTGTCCCCTCAACGTCCCCCCTCGCCCCCTCCCCGGGTCTCACCGGCTGCTCGATGACCCGCAGGACGGTGCGCTTGATGTCAGCGATGGCTTCGGTGTAGACGGAAGCCAACTCGTGGATGAGCTTGTGGTTGTGGGGCAGCAGTGCCAGGTAGAGGTAGAGGCACTGCTTGATGGTCTCCTCCGTCCACGGCGCCGCCACCTCTGCGCCACACAGGGTGTCACCAGAGCCCTGGGGGCCCCCCTAGTAGGGGCCACCCCGCCCCCAAAACTCACCCGTGTCCTTGTCGGCACCGAAGAGGACGGAGGGTGGGTTGGGGTGCACCAGGAGCTGGAGGTAGTTGAGGGCAAACTTCTCCACGTACTCCCGCAGTTGGTCCTTCTCGTACATGCGCTTGATGAAGAGGAGGGCCTGCTGGCGTACCTGCGGGGGCGGGCGCGTGTCACCGGTGCGGGGACACAGCGGGGGACAGCGGGGTCCCCCCCGGGTGCGCCGGTACCTTGTCCTTCTCATGGGAGCTGAGATCCAAGAGGACGTGGAGGTATTGGAACTGCCGCGACGGCCGCTTGAAGATGAGGTCACGCAGCGTGGACATGCCCAGGTAGGTCCGGCTCTGCAGAGACGGGGGGTGATGACACAACGGCGAGGGTCAGCAAGGCTTGCCCCCATGTCCCCAAGCCTGTGGGTCCCCACCTCGTCCTCGCAGTACTTGCGGATGACCTCCAGTGCGCTCTCGGTGATCAGCGGCGCTTCCAGTACCACTTTGGTGAAAACCCTGCCGGGAAACGGACAGCGTCGGGCTGGGGGGGTTTTGTCAGGGTGGGGGGCAGGGGACACGCGGGCAACCCTGGGGACTATCTGGAGGGATGTTCACGACTCAAGAGCTGTGGATTCCACTGTGGTGGCTCTCCAGAGACTGGGGGAGCGGCTGGTGGCACCGTCACGGCCCCGGTGGCACAATCATGGCTCCAGTGGCACCGTCACGGCCCCGGTGGCACTGTCATGGCCTTGGTGGCACCATTCCCGTCCCGGTGGCACCATCACGGCCCTGGTGGCATCATCGTGGCCCCAGTGGCACCGTCATGGCCCCAGTGGCACCGTTCCCATCCCGGTGGCACCGTCATGGCCCCAGTGGCACCGTCATGGCCCCAGTGGCACCGTTCCCATCCCGGTGGCACCGTCCCAGCCCCAGTGGCACCGTTCCCATCCCGGTGGCACCGTCACGGCCCCGGTGGCACCGTTCTCATCCCAGTGGCACCGTCATGGCCCCGGTGGCACCGTCATGGCTCTGGTGGCACCGTTCCCATCCCAGTGGCACCGTCATGGCCCTGGTGGCACCGTCATGGCCCCGGTGGCACCATTCCCATCCCAGTGGCACCGTTCCCATCCCAGTGGCACTGTCATGACCCTGGTGGCATCATTCCCATCCCGGTGGCACCGTCATGGCCCCAGTGGCACCGTCATGGCCCCGGTGGCACCGTTCCCATCCCGGTGGCACCGTCACGGCCCCGGTGGCACCGTTCCCATCCCGGTGGCACCGTTCCCATCCCGGTGGCACCGTCATGGCTCTGGTGGCACCGTTCCCATCCCGGTGGCACCGTTCCCATCCCGGTGGCACCGTCATGGCTCTGGTGGCACCGTTCCCATCCCGGTGGCACCGTCATGGCCCCGGTGGCACCGTTCCCATCCCGGTGGCACCATCATGACCCTGGTGGCACCGTTCCCATCCCGGTGGCACCGTCATGGCCCCGGTGGCACCGTTCCCATCCCGGTGGCACCGTCATGGCCCCGGTGGCACCGTTCCCATCCCGGTGGCACCGTCCCTACCCGTCCTTCTGGTCGGGCTTCTCCTGGAGCCCGGCGAGGAGCCCGATGAGACACTCGTCGTAGCGCTCCAGGCTGCCGGCGGGGAAGCGGCTCAAGTAGACGTTGTACTCCTGGAAGAGCCAAGCGAAGGCCAAGTCGAGGCGGCCGCGGATGTCATCGAGGACGAAGGCCAGCACCTCGCTCTTCAGCGGCACCTCGAACTGCGTCACCAGCGAGGCCAAGATCTTCACGCGGGCCTGTCGGCGGGAGAGAAGAGTGGGTGACATTTGGGGGGCGTGGGGGGGGGCTCGCCCCCGACAGTAGGGAGGGCCAGGCGTACCTGGGCGGCCCCGCTGCAGGCGACAGCGCGCTCGGCGCGTAGGATGCGCTTGACGGCGCTGAGCTTCAGCTTCTCCATCTGCGCGTCACTCAGCGGCTTGAGGACGTCGCCCAGGCGGAAAACCTTCTTGCGCCCGCCGGCACCCGCCAACCTCGGGGGGGGAAAAAAGAGAAATAGATCCATCTGTCAGCACCCACGGGCGCTGCTCCCCGGGAGGGCGACAGCGGGGGGTTACCGGGGCTGCGTGGCCGGGATGATGGGCTCAGGGCGACGCTTGGCCTGGGGGGCTTCTTCTTCCAGCAGGTTGGTGGCCGAGCCTTGGGCACCCAGCACGGAGATGGCCTGGCCTTGGGCCAGCGCCGACAGCCGCCGCTTGATGACGACGCTCTCGGGTTTGGCCGCCTTCTCCTCCTTCGGCTCCTCCTTCAGGTGCTTCGTCTGCTCCACGCCTGGCCGGGTGCGGAGGGTTGAAGTGGCACCGGTGAATTATTGGAATTGCCGTGCAGAAAAATAAAAAGAAAAGAAAAGAAAAGTAAGAAATAAAAAAAAATAATAATAAAAAAAAATTAAAAGATAAAAAGAAAATCAAACAATAAGATAAAAATAAAATAAATTTTAAAATAAAAATAAAAACAAAATAAAATTTAAAAAAATTAAAATAAGAAATAAAATAAAATTTAAAAATAAGATAAAAAATAAAAAAATTAAAAATAAAATACTAAATAAAAAATAGTAATTAAAAGGAAAGAAAATTTAAAAAATAAAATAATAGAAATAAACAAAAACCAAAATAAGATTAAAAAATCAAAATAAAATTTAAAAAATAAAAAAATTTAAAAACTGAATACAAAATAAAATAAAACCAAAATAAAACTTTAAAAAATAAGTAAAAAATAAAACCAAATAAAAAAACAAAACAAAGGGAACCCCCAAAGCAACCGACCCCCAACCGCTGGCTGCTCTCACGGGCGGGGCCGCCCCCGCCCGCGCCCCCGCCCCGCCCCGGGGCTGCCGGGGGGCCCGGGGGTCCCCGCTCACCCGGGCCGAGCCCCGCCGCTGTCATCTGGGTGGCCATGAGCCGCGAGAGGTGCTTGATCTGCGCCTCCGTGCCGGCCGACTCCACGGGGGTGTAGGTGGCCTGGAAGGAGGCGGGCATGGCCTCGGGCAGGTACACCATGCTGATCAGCACCTGTGAAACAACAGCAGAACCCCCCGAAGTTGAGGGGACGCCCCCCGCCGCGTTCCCGCCCCCCCCCCGTGTCCCCCCCCGACCAGGTTGGCGACGTTCTCCGGCGTGAGCAGCGGCTGCAGGAACTCGGCCGTGATGTCCGTGTCCGAGGGGACGCCGCCCTGCCCGCCCGCCTTGGGCACCGCCACCGCCGCCGCCTCCAGGTCCTTGTCCTCGTCGTCTTCGCCCAGGGGGGGCTCTGCCGGGATGGGGGGCAGGGCGTCACCCCCACCCCCCCGCCTCTCCCGAGGTCCCCGGGGGTCTGATCGGCCACCCCCAGGCACTGGGGACCCCGGAGGGGGGGGGGGGGGGCACTTGGGAGGGGCCTGTTGTGCCACCAGCGGTCCCCAAGGAGCACTGGGAGGGGGTTTAGGGCCACCACCCACCCCCAGCGTGACTGGGAAGGGACTGGGGGGACCCCAAGAGGCCCCGGGGGTGTTTAACGTCCCCGCTCTTCCCCAGGAGAGCACTGGGAAGACATCGGGGGCATTTAATGTCACCACCCACCCCCAGCATGACCGGGGAGGGACTGGGAGGACCCTGAGAGCCATTTAATGGCAACACACGCCCCGAGGAGAAACCAGGCAGACCCCAGGTGTCACTGGGAGGACCTTAGGGGTGCAGTGTCACTGCCTGTCCCCAGCAAGGACCGGGGGGACCCTGGGTGGCACCGGGAGGTCCTTGGGGGGCGTTGTAATGCCACCACCCGTCCCCAGTGTCCCCAGGAAGGCACTGGGAGGATCTTGACGGGCACCAGGAGGACCTGAGGGGGCACTGAACGCCCTCAAAGGAGGCGGGAAGGGCCCCGCGGGCGCGCAGCGCCATCGGGGAGGGGACAACGGTGACATTTGGGGTCTCACCAATCTTCATCTTCTTGAGGGCGGCGTCGGGCTCGTCGCGGGGCCGTTTGCGGGCGTCGCGGGGGCTGGGCATGCTGCGGGCGATCTCGGCCTGCTGGGTGCCCAGGTCGACCAGGAGGGTGGTGATCTGGGGCTGGAAGTCCCCCGAGGACGGGTGCCGCAGGACGCTGAGGAGGTGAAGCTTCAGGTTCTTCCGGACGCTGCTCACCTGTGACTTGGCCAAGGTGGGGGGCAGGTTGGCTGGAAATTGGGGAAGGGGACATCGTTTTAGGGAGCTCTGGGGACACGGGACGCCACGGGCTGGGTGGCATCGGGGTCTGCTGCGCGCAAGAGGGTGGGGACGAGCCTGGGTCCTCAGCCAAGGTGGAAGGTGGGTGCTCGGGAACCAGGACCCGAACGGGAGGTGGGTGGGGGGACCTTGGGGACCCACGGGTGACAGTGACATTTACCGTGAAGGGTCTCGTAGGCTTGGATGACCTCGGCCATGAACATGGGCCGCTGGCGGGCAATGGTGGCCAAGGAACCCAGCGCGGCCGTCAGGTTGATGCTGGAGATGGCCGGGTGCACCATGAACTTGAGGAGCTGCTCCAAGGCGGCTTTGCCTTCCTCCCACAGCACATCTGTGGGGCCACGTCCACGCTCAGCGGGGTGTCCCCTCCGAAAGGGGGCCCCGCGCCCCTCAGGAAAAGGACCCCCCGCGTCCCTCGGCCTCACTGTATTTGATGTAAGGGTGGTCCTTGGGGATGCGCTCCAGGCTGATGTCGTTCTCGTGGCGTTTGGGGACGTCGGAGTCGGCCATGCGGGGCGAGAGGGTGATGATGAGCCCCTCCACGAACTTGATGGCATGGGTGCGGATGCCGTCGTTGTCCGAGTCAAGGAGGAGGATGATGTCGCTGGCCATGGCTGCCATCATCTCCCAGCAAGCCTCCTGCAGCTCGCTGATCACCTTTGACTTCACCATCCACTGCAGGGCAGGGAGGGGTTTCAAGCACGCCGGGCTGGTCCCCCGGCACCCACGGGTGCCCTCTCCCAGCACCCATGGGTGGTGCCTCACCTGGAGGGCCACCTTGTAGAGCTGGGTCATGGTGAGGATGGCTTTCTTCACCACGTTGACGTTCTCGTCCTTCAGCAGCATGTTGAGGTTGGCGATGAGCTTCAGCAGCAGCTCGATGTCCCGTTTGCTGGGACGGACACACACGCACACACACATCGGAATGGGGGAGGGAACACCCCAAAATGAGGGGGGGGGGGGACTCCCCAAAATGAGGGGACACACACACACAAAATGGCCACAGGGGGAAAGGGGTGCTCAGCACCCACATCTCCTCCTGCCTGGGGCCCCAAAAAGCTGCACGAGGTTCCCTGGGATGTGGGTGCTGTGTCCCGCCAGGGCCTGAGAGTGGGTGCTCAGCCCCCCACACCCGGGGTGACGCTCAGCCCTCCAAGTGGGTGCTGAGCCCCCCCGCCCCTTACCAGGCCTCCTCGATGAAGCCCACTACGAACTTCCGCACCTCAATGGACTTGTCAGCCTGGAAGGCGATGATCTCCTGGGGGACACACACACACAGGACACACAGAGGGGGCTCAGCACCGGGCTGGATCCATCCCAAACCCCCCCTGCCCCCCCGATCCTCCCAACCCGGCCCAGATCCCCCCGACACCCCCCCCCGCCAACTCACATCCAAGAAGTTATCCAGCAGCGTGGGGTCCTTGTTGATGATCAGCTCCTGCACCTGGGGACAAAGGGAGGCGGTGGGAACAGGAGGACGGGGCACCCCCCCGATCCCTCCTGGACCCCCCCCCGATCCCTCCTGGACCCCCCCGATCCCTCCTGGACCCCCCCCCCCCGATCCCTCCTGGACACGCCCCCGCCCAGACCCTCACCTGCTTGAGGATGTTGATCTTGCCATCGTTGCTGATCAAAGCCGCCTGGTTGAGGAGATCCACCACCTGGGGGGGGGAACATGGCTCGGTTCTGGGGGGACACTGGCGGGGGGGGTGTCCCCCCCAGTGTGTGTGTTGTTGTGTCGTCCCCCCCCCCCGCAGGATCACCGCTGGATCCCCTCGAGGTGGCTGCCACATCCCCCAGCCTGGATCTCCATCCCCCATGCAGGTCGCCCCCAGGGAGGGGGTTCCTGCCCCCCTCCCCACCCCCCAGTTCCCAGGGATCTCCCTCCCCCCCCCCAATCCTGGGGATCCTGCCCACCCCCCCCATCCCAGATCCCCCCTCCCCAGTGGATTCCAGATCCCCCCAAAGCGGATCCCAGGTACCCTGCCCCCCTCACCCCCCATCCCAAGGATTCCCCCCCACCCCCAAATCCCAGGGACCCTGCCCCCTCCTCCCGCCTCAATCCCAGTCCCCCCCAGTGGATCCCCCCCTCCCAGTGGATCCCGGCCCCACCCTCTCGGAGGTGCTCATCCCGTCGCTGCCGCACTCCTCCTCGCTGAAGAACTGGGAGGCCACGCTCATGCGGGGGCTGGGCCCCTCGGTGCCCCCCAGCCCTGCCATCGCCCCGCCCTGGGGGGGAGCACAACCACATCACACCCCTATAGGGACTCGGGAGGCTCTACAGGGTCCCCGGGAAGGCCCAAATGCCCCCTATGGCCCCCAGATACTCTCTATGGCCCAGAGACGCCCCGTACAGCCCCCATGATGCCCTATATGGCCCCAGAATGTGCTATATGCACCAGAGATGCCCTATACAGCCCCTACGATGTCCTATATGGCCCAGACACCCCATACAGCCCCCATGATGCCCTGTACGGCCCCAGGATGCTCTATACAGACCAGAGACCCCCCCAACAGCCCCTGTGATGCCCTATATGGCCCAGAGATGCCCTATATGCCCCCAGAATGCTCTGTATAGACTAGATGCCCCATACAGCCCCCGCAAAGCCTTATATGGCCCAGAGCTGCCCTATATAGCCCCTGTGATGCCCTATACAGCTCCATAACGCTCTACACAGAGACACCCCATACAGCCCCTGTGATGCCCTATATGGCCCAGAGATGCCCTGTATGTCCCCAGAATGCTCTATATAGACCAGACATGCCCCATACACCCCCTGCAATGCCCTATATGGCCCAAAGACACCCCATACAGCCAACACAATGCCCTATACGGCCCCAGGATGCTCTATAGACCAGATGCCCCATACAGCCCCTGTGATGCCCTATACGGTCCCAGGATGCTCTATACAGACGAGAGACCCCCCAGACAGCCCCTGTGATGCCCTATGTGGCCTAGAGCTGACCCATACAGCCCTTGTGATGCCCTATATGACCCCAGGATGCTCTATATAGACCAAAGACACCCCATACAGCCCCAGATGCCCTATACTGCCTCAGGATGCTCCATACAGCCCCTGCAATGCCCTATATGGCTCCAGCATGCTCCGTACAGACCAGAGACACCCCATACAGCCCCTGTGCTGCCCTATATGGCCTAGAGATGCCACATACAGTCTCTGCAATGCCCTATATGGCTCTGTGATGCCTATACACCCCATACACCTCTGAGATGCCCTGTACGCCCTCAGGATGCTCCATACAGCCCATACCCTACATGGCCCTAGGATCCTCTATACGACCCACAAATATCCCACACAACCACTGCAATATCCTGTATGCAATATCATGTATCCAGACATGACCCATACAGCCTCTGTGATGCCCTATATGGTTGCTGGATGCTCTATACAGCCCAGAGATGCCCCATACAGCCCCTGGGTTGCCCCCCGCCCAGGTTGCCCTATACAGCACGGCAATGCCCCATACACCCCCCGGAGTGCCCTGTGGTGTCCTACACCTCCCTGGCATGTCCCGTATGTGCCCCCCCCCCCTCAAAGTTATGGGCCAGCACCTGCCCTGGGCCCTACCCTATAGAACCCCATTCCAACGCAGTGCCAGTCCCTATAGAGCTCCCCCTGCCCCAGGACCCTACAGAAAGCCCTCCCTCCCTCCATACGTCCTCCCAGGGGCTCCCACCCCCTATAGAGCCCCATTTCCCACACAACCCTGGGCCCTTTGAACCCTCCCACCCCCACACGCTGCCCGGGGCCCTATAGCACCCCAGGCCCATATGGACCCCACAGAGCCGACACACCGCCCAGGCCTTTACGGAGCTCCCTCGCACCCCCACCCCCGCGCCTATAGCCGCCTCCAGCCCCCTCCGCGGCGCCCAACTCCCCACGCACCGCTCAGGACCCCACAGAGCCCCTTCTCCCCTCCCCACACTCCCTTAGAGGAGTCTGTACGACCTCCCGCCCGCCCCCTCCCCACGGCCTGAGGCCCTGGGGACCCCCCGGGCCCTATAAGCCCCCGTCCCGCTCCCGCAGGCCCCTATAGAGGCGCCTATAGATGCCCCCTATAGAGGCGCCTATAGATGCCCCCTATAGAGGCGCCTATAGATCCCCCCTTACCGCCGCCCGCTCGCCCAGCGGCCTCCGCGCGCCCCTTGCGCGTGCGCGGCCCCGCCCCGCCGCAACGTCCCCGCGGGGAAGGGGCGTGGCCTCAACGCGCCCCGCCCACTCCACCCTGCGGGTTCCACCTCCCCACGCGGGGGGGGCGGGGGGAAGCTGCGCGCATGCGCGGGGAAGGGTAGCGTGACGCGTGACTCGGGGAGCGCATGGGGTGGGTGTCTCTGCGCACGTGGGGAGCGGGGACCCCCCCCCAGTTGTCGCCCCAAGACCCTTTCCAATTCCCCTGGCGCCCAACTCACCCCCCGCCCACCACTGCCCCCCCCTTGCTCCGCCAGACCCCCCTTCGAGATCCCCCCCTTCCCCCCAACACCCCCCCACAACCCCCCCTTGCCCCCCAGATCCCCCCAAGACACCCCCCCATGCCCCCAGCAGACCTACCCCACCACCCAAAATCCATCCCCATGCCCCCCCAATCCCCCCCCCCGCCAAGAACCAGCCAAGCTGCAACTTAACCAAACCCCCCCAAAAAAGCGTCGCTTTATTGACCAAAAATCCCCCCTCAAATAAAAAAAAAAAAAAAAAACAAAAAAACCCAAAGAAAACAAACCCCCCAAACCAATAACCCCCCCCCCAACAGCGCTTTGGGGTATCCCTCACCCCAAGGGCCCAGGCACTTATCACCCCCCTCCGTGATTTGGGGGGTAGTGGTGGTGTTCTGGTAGGACCTCCTGAAACCGGATGGGGAAAGGGGGGGCCCCCCCACCCCCCTGAGTTCTCAGGGGTCCCGCTCCCTCTTGACGCGGACATCGCCGCCTAAAATAGCGGCGATCTCCCCTTGCATGAACGCCCAGGGGACCCCGGAACCGGCCAGGGGACACCGGCCCCCGCTGGGACAGTGCACCTCGGCCCCGGCACCCCGCGCCCGGATGGCGCGCCGGGCGCACGGGAAGCAAAACCGGTGCGCCGGCACGGCGGGGCACTGCACGAAATGGGTGTCCTCCAGCCGGTGCCGGCACAACCCGCAACACAACGGCGGCGATTCCACCGCCAGACACCGGCTGGTTTCCTCGGGGGAACGGTCGCCCGAGGGGTGTCGGCGGGACGGCCGCGGTTCGGCTGCCTCGGGGGATGCTTTGCGCCGGCGGCGCGGGGCCGGCGGCACCGGGGGTTGTTGCGGCAAAGCGTCGGGTGCCGGCGGGTGGCGGAAAAAAACGGACGGCTTCGGTGAAGAGTTCGCCCAGCAAACGCCAGTCGCCGCTGCCCTGGCGCTTCTCGTACTCCAGGTATTTGTAACCGGAGGAAATGGCTTTCCCAGGCGCCCGCAAGCAATCCTGGAACATTTGTTTTGCCAGACCCAGCACGCCGGCATAGACGCTGCCAGAGCCGCAGGGGTATTCGGCGAAAAGCTTCAACTCGAACTCAAAACCCGGGCGAGGCGCCGCGTCAAAGGCAAAAACTCGCCCCACCAACGCGTGATCCTTCCGGAAGCGGACGTTGAAAGGGGCGCAGCCGGCGAGGGCGGCGAGGCGCTCCCGCACCGCCGGCGGTTTCCCTGGCCAGTCCTCGGCGCGGCCGCGCATGGCTTCGCTCAGCTCTGCCAAGCACTCGGCGCCGTGCGGGCGGCACGGTGCTGGTGGGACGCGGCGTTCCGCCGGGGTTTCCTCAGGGGGGGACGGGAGCAGCGCAGCGCGGGGGGGCCGGGGCTCGGCGCGGCCGTGGCGGAGGCGGCGGGCGGCTTCCAGCAAAGGTTCGATGCGGTCGGCGCCCTCGAAGTTGACGCAGCCGCGGCAGACGGCTTCGCTGAAGTCCCACACCACGGCCCAGGGGGTTTTGGGCAGGTCGCAGAGGTAGCACCACTGCCGCCGCCACGACATGGCCGGGGAGGGGACACACGTGGGACACGGGGGGGCTGCCAGGACCCCTCCTTGGCACAGCCCCCTCCCGCAGGGTCTCCCTCGGCGGGTGCTCCTACACACAGACCTCTCAGAGGGTCCCCTTGGGGGGGGGGGGGGGTGTCCCCTCAGCACAACCCACTCCTCCCCCAAAGGTCCCCTCAGAGCTCCCCCCCCAAAATTCCTCCCTCAGAGGCTCCCCCCCCCCAAGAGCCCCCTCACAGGGTACCGCCAAAGGGTCTCCCCTAACCACAGCCCCCCCTCAGAGTCCCACTTCAGCAACGTGCCACCGCAGAGCCCCCCCCCCTCCCCAATCCCCTCAGAGGATCCCCCCACCCCCAGCAGAGCCTCCTCACAGGGTGCCCCCAGTCTCCCCTAACCACGGCCCCCCTGGGAGGGGCCCCCCCTAAGTCCCATCTCAGCAGAGCCCCACCCCAGAAGGTCCCCTCAGAGCCCCCTCTCACCAAACACCCCTCTCAGAGAGTCCGTCCCCCCCCCAGAGCCCCCCCAAAGTCTCCTCTGACCACAGCCTCCCTCAGAGCACCCCCTCAGAGAACACCCGCCACAGAGGCCCCCCCCCCCCCCCAAACCCCCTCACAGCCCAACCCTCCCCACCCCAAAAAGCGCCCTCAAAACGCCGTCGCGTACACCCCCCACCTTCCGGCCGCGCGCGCCTTAAAGGGGCCGCCGGAGCGCGGCGGGACGGGCGGGGCGGGGCGGGCGCAGCAGTGCGCCTGCGCGGGGCGGGGCGGGCGCAGCAGTGCGCCTGCGCGGGGCGGGGCGGGCGCAGCAGTGCGCCTGCGCGAGGCGGGGCGGCGGGGCGCCCACGTGGGCGGGACCCGCGTGACGTCTGCCGGAAGGGAGGTGCGCCTGGGGGCGGGGCCACAGCGCCGAGCACCACCCATGCGGTGGGCCGGGGCTCATAGGCCACGCCCCCCAGCTCGCCGTGCCGCCCCGCCCGCCGGACCGGCAAAGCCCCGCCCCCGAGGACGGTCAGTGCGGGGCGATCCTCCATTAGCCACGCCCCCTCCCTGACGGGCCCGCCCCCTTTGGCCACGCCCCTCCCACCGCCCCGGGTGCTCGTGTCCCCGTCTGTGCATATGGGGGACTATAGGAGCTGGGAATATAGGGGCTGTGGGGGCCTATGGAGGCATGGAGGGCTATAGGTGCTATACTGGGGGCTAGGGGCCTGGTGGGCTATGGGATCTATAGGGGGAGGGGGGCAACGGAGAGGTTGTGAGGAGCTATAGGGGTACAAGGATGTATAGGGGCTAGGGGGGCTGATGGTGACTGGGGGCTGGGGGGGTGCGCACTAAAGGTCTAGGAGGGGCCTGGGGGGGCTATAGGGACCTATGGGGATCTATAGGCTAGTGCTGGTCACCTCGTGGCTGGGGTGGCCCGTGGCCATGGTGGCATCTCCCAAGGCTCCTTGGGTAGCCAAAAGTCATGACTTTGGCACCCAGGTGTGGGATCATTTTTGGAGGACAATGGCCACGTTGGACAAGAACAAGACTTTGGCTACAGTAGGCTGCGACCTTGAAGAGCCCTTGAGGATGCAAAAAGAGGAAGAAAAGTGATGTAGGAAGAGGAATATGCGGAAGAAAGTTGCTGGAAAGAGGATGTGGGTGGCATAGGAGGCAGCGTAAGATAATCGATCAAATGTTAGTCTTAGGTGAATGGACAGCGTGTGGAGAATGCACGTAATCAATCAAGCCTTTTCCTTCTGTGTGATCAGTTGCTAGGAAGATATATAAACGTGCTTGTATCGGCAATAAAGGTCTTTGACTCATGACTCTTACAGAGTTGCCGCAGTCTGTTATTCTCCTCACCCAGGGTGTCCCATGGCCACGGTGGCATCTCCTGGGGGTGCCTTTGGGTGACACCCAGGGGCATCTGTGACCTGGGGGGCCACCGAGGACGGGCATGGGGCCATGGCGGATGGATCCATGGACTGACCCCCAGCCCCATGGATGGCCCCACAGACAGCCCCCCAGACACAGCCCTGCCCGAGTGGGGCTGCTGGGACCCCCCCAGGGCAGTTTAGTGGGGTGCGCTGGGTGGGTTATATATTCCCTCACCCCATTTTCGGTGTGGCTGATCCCCGCCTTCCCCCCCCTTAACCTTTGGGGGGGGATATAGGCGTTTGGGGCTGTCCCCTCCCCCCCATTTTGGGGGACATTTTACAATTTGAGGAGGAGACATCCTTAAATATTGGGGTGCTCGGGGGGGGCGGGGTGTTGGGGGGTGTTGTCCCCCCACCAGCCCACTCCTCATACCCCAGGGGTCCCCTCTGTTCCGTCCCCCCCACCTCGCCGTGTCACCCCCTTTCCCTGCTGCCCGCGGGCATGAATGGAGCGCGGCGTTGCAGGTAGGAAAGGGAGGGGGCGTGGCCACGCCGCTATCAATGGGAAGGGGCGTGGCCAGGCAGTGATCAATGGGAGGGGGCGGGGCCTCCCCGTGCTGGAGTCGAACTTCCGCCTCCTTCCCAGCAGGGGGCGCCGCAGGAGCGGCTCGCTCCTCCCCTTCCCCTAAGGGAATGACTGACAGCCTCCGCAACCAATGGCTACGCTGGTCTGGGAGGCGGGCTCCGCCTGACAGCCAATAGCAGCAGGAGGCTGGGGGGGCAGCAAGGAGGGGTGCGAAGCGGCTAACGGCCGCCTGCGGGAAGGCGGGGCGCGAGGTGACAGGCGGCGGCGAGAGCCAATAAGACGGCAGAGCGAGAGGTGGCCGGCCAATGGGGTGGGGTAGCGCTGAGCGGGGGGCGGGGCTGCGGCGGTGGAGGAGCGCGGCGGGCGGTGAGTGCCGGTAGTCCCGGGACGGGGGGGGGGGGCGGCTCTCTGGTCCCCAGCAGCGCCCCCCCCCCCGGGATCTGCCGCTTAAACAGCCTCGCGCGGTACCCCCGGGAGCAGCCCCCCCCTCCCCCCTCGGTACCCCCCAAAGCAGCGCCCTCCCCCCCTCCAAGCCCTCATACCCCCCCCCAATTGTCACCAAATACCCTGGGGGTCCCCTCCCCGCTGTGCCTCCCCCTTCCCGCTGCCCTCCTCGACGCCCTCCCGCCTAAATCTGCGCCCCCCCCCCCCAATTCCACTCCCCCCCCCAAATCTGCGCCCCCCCCCCAATTCCACTCCCCCCCCCCCCCCCCCCCCGAAACCACCCGAACCCCCCCGCTCCGAGCTTCTTGGATTTGGCTCCCCTTTCCTCCATCTCCTTGGGGTGCCCCCCTCATCTCCCGGTAATGCCCCCCTCTATCTCCTGAGGGTGCCCCCCCCGCTTTTCCACAGATCGCCCCCCATTTCCACATCGCCATGGGGGACCCACGGTGCCTGCAGGCCGACTGCGCCTTCCGCCACGGGGCTCACACCGTCCGCCTGACCCTCGCGCGCTCCGCGCTGGCGGTGGAGGTCGAGGCCCACCTCACCGGCCACCGCTGGCGGGGGCAGTTTGATGCCGCCTGTAAGTCCCGGGGAGGGGGTTACAAAGGGATTCTGCCCCCACCCCCCCACCCCCCCCATAAAAAAAGCCGACTGACCCCCCCCCTTCCTCCCAGTCATCGAGGACCTGACCCACAAAACAGGGAATTTCAAGCAGTTTGGGATTTTCTGCAGCATGTTGGAGTCGGCGCTGACGCAGGTGAGGCTGCCGCCGCGCCCCCCGGAACCCCATATCCCGTTTTCACACAAAATAGACTAAAACGCCCCAGACAGGTAGAAATCTACCCTTCCTTAGACACTGAACTCACCTCTTCTTCCCTGTGATATTCTGCAATGAGGTGGAATGGCACTGGGTAAAGTGTGCTGGACATGACACCGAAAAGGGAGCGTAGAGCCAGAGTGGAATAGCCATTGGGAAACAAGCCAATTAATCCAGTAATCAATCCAAAAAGTAGGTATCTAATGAAATAAAGTGGCTTTAATTCTATTTATGGCAGAAGCATCTTCTGCATGTCTGTGAAAAAAAAGGGAAAATGTTGATAAGACTGAAACAATACAGGTCATACTTCATCATTCAGACTTTAAGGGGTTTTATTCTGTAAAATACAACGAAGGAGATAATCCTACTGATTTTGAAAGTTGTCTCGAATTACCGTAGGCATAAACTTGCCAAAGAATATTTACTCTCTCTGGGGATAATCTTATTCTGGCATAGCCAACTCCAGAGAAGTATTTCACCATTCTGGAAGAACTGCCTTCACCGACAACCTCAGACATTGTTATTTGCTTATGGTGAGAACATTTGGCATCAACCTGAGAAAGGCACTACAGATATTCCTGCTCCAAAGGGGTAAAGGTTTCCATCAAGCCTCTTTTAGATGGTCAGCTCAGCCCTCAAAATGGAATCTGTCTGGGGAAGTGTGCTGGCATATTTAGAGAGCAAAGCTCATGGTTCTGGCAAGAACTTCTGCGCTGTGGAAGAGTGATTCTGTGAGAAAAGGAGAAGGGGAGAGGCCCCATCTTTTAGAAAGCTACAGCTACAGCAGTGCTGGGTGAAAGCAATTGCATCCATTTTAGTCTTCAGGATGATTTTTAGTGCTCAGGGTCAGCTCACATGCAGAATAATGCATGTGTTTGGGGGGGGGAATTCCCCTGAACTTGCCCCCCAACTTTTACCCTCTGCAGAGCAGTGAATCCGTCAGCCTGGAGCTCCTCACCTACGCCGACCTGGAGACACTGCGCAGCCGGAAGATGGGGGCCAGCGCCCGGCCCCCCCTTTCGGCCGCTTCCCCCCTCAGCGCCAAGCGCTACCTCATCCTCGTCTACTCCGTCGAGTTCGACAGGTGACGGGGGGGACACACACCAAGTGGGGGGACACTGTGACAGGAGGCAGGGGGGAACACACCCCCCACCCCCTCCACTGTGTGCCTGTGCCCCCCCTCTCCCCAGGATCCACTACCCACTGCCGCTGCCCTACGCGGGGGGGCCGGATCCTGCCGCACTGCTGCGGGCGCTGAGGGAGGAGCTGGCGCAGCTCCGCACTCGTCGTGGGGAAGATCGCCGTGACGCCGAGATCCGCTGCTTGCGGGACGAGTGAGCCACGCCAGGGTTTGGGGAAACCCCCCTTAACTCTAATTTAGAGCAAAAAAACAGCCCCCCCCCAACCCTAAAATATACACCCCACCCCCCCCCCCCGCTCCCCAATCCTGGCCAGGCTGGAGGAGAAGCGAGTGGCCGAGGCGGCGTTGCAGCGAGCGGCGCGGCGTTTGGAGGAGGAACTATCGCGGGAGAAAGCCCGGCACCGGCAACTGGCGGCTGAGGTGGGTTGCCAGAGCTTTGCGGGGGGGTGGCTACCAGCGCTGGAGGCGAGGCTACCAACCTTCCCCACCCCCCCCATCTCTTTTTCCAGCTGGCGGAGGTGAAGGTGTCGGAGCAGAGGCTGCAGCTGCGGGTGAAGAGCTTGACGGCCGAGCTGGCTTCCTGCAAGAAGGGGTGAGGTTGGGCTAAAAGGGGGTGCAGGGGGTGCCCCCCAAGCCCCCCCAAACGGCGCTGCTCCCCTTGACAGGCGCCGGATGCCCACCAGCACAGTCCCTCGCCCCCAAGGGCGACGCTCAGCGTCCCGGGAAAGTCATGGGGGCAGCCAGGGCCATCCCCCGCTGCGGTCCCCGTCCCCCGCAGGTGAGGGACAATTTTTGGGGGGGGTCCTCGGGGGAGCGCGGGTCACACACACACAGTTCTCCCCTTCCCCACCCCAACGTCTTCCTCCCCTCCCCACCAGGTCCTCGCCCACCCCGCTTCGACCCCACCGCCTTCGTCAGGGCACGGCAGTGCCGGCAGAAGGAAACCGAGCTCAAAAAGTAAGTGGTGACACTGGGGTTGTCACTGTCCCTGTCCTCTGCTGGTTTTTTTGGGTGGGGAGGGGGCCTCCCTCACCTCCGTTTCCCTTGGGGGGCCTCCCCCCACCCCCTTCCCCCAATTTCTCACCCCTTGGGTGCAGCCAGCGGCGCAGGGCGGCTTTCGGCAGCGCCAGCCCGGCAAGGAGCCGCGGGCGCAGCTCCTCAGGTGAGTGGGGTTATGTGAGGGGTGGGTGGGGGGCACCCGCTGGGTGCTGGAGGAGGGGGGGGTTGGTGTCCCTCCTTCCTCCAGCTTTCTTCCCCTGCCCCCCACCCGCTTCCCCAAATTCTCCCCACAGCTGAAAGCTTCCGGAGTTGGCGCTCGGCCGTGAGCTCCGGCAGCGAAGCTGATGAACGCTGCGAGCCCAAGCCCCCCAGGTAACCATCAGGGTGAGGGGGGGCACCCTGAGCACCCCATAACCCCCCCTGAGCACCCCTTAAACCCCCCCCCCAACTTTGCTAGAGGCAGGAGGGTGACGTGCACCCGGAGACCCCTGAGCGCCTCATCCTGCAATGGCTCCGGCGCAGTGAGTGGTTGCCCAGACACACAGAATCCGCTCCCCTGAACCCCCCCATCCCTTTTCTTTTAGGGTCACCCCCTGCACCCCTGAAGTGGGGTGACTGCGAGGTGGGGGTGGTCACACACCCCAGTGCCACCTCCATTTCCTCTCCCCACCCCCAGGCCCGTCGCCCAGCCGTTGGCCACAAGCTGCCTGTGGGCAGTGCTGCCAGCAAGCACCCTGGTAAAGGTGAGACACCCCCCCCTCATTTTTGGGGTGCCCCCCTGCCCCAATTCAGGCCTTTTTTAACCCATTTTTCCTTGCCTTCCCCGCCTCACCCTGCCATCAGAGAACTGCTACGAGGAGCCCTCGGCTGAGCTGGCTGAGATTGATGCCCGGCTGCAAGCGCTGCAGGAGTACATGGACAGCCTGGACACCCGCACGTGACCCACCCCCCCCGCCCAGGGGACCCCCCCCACCTCCCTCTGTCCCCAAGGGGGTGACAGCACTGACGTGGGGTCAGTGTCCCCCCAATTAAACCCCAGTGTGGCCCTCCCATGACGTGTCCTGCTTCTTGAGGGGGGGTGCCCTATGTGTGTGTCCCATCCCTCCCCCCCCCCCCCCCCCCCAGTGTCCTGCTGCTGGAGACACGGCGGGAGGGGGCCCCCCAGTGACATCAATGTGGGGAGGGAGGGGGGTGGGGGGATGTGACAAGGGACAGCGCCAGGGCTTGGGGCTGTGACACCCCCATGGCTTTATTCTGCTCCGGGTCACGCACAATGGGGACATTTGGGGACAGTGCTGGGGCGGGGGGCTGCGGTTGGGTGGTGGTGGCATCGGTGACAATATCACCAGAGTGGGGGTGGGGTGTGTGTGTCCCCATTCGGGGGGTGGCACCTGCTGCCACCTCGGCACCGGGGATTTTGGGGACAACCCCAGCCTCGAAGCCCGATCCCCGTCTGTGTCCTGATCCCAGTGATCTCAGTGCTGGTGCTGGCCCCAGGCCAATCCCAAGGATCCCAGTGCCCAATCCTGGTGCCAATCCCGGTCCCAGTGCTGATCCCAGTCCTGGTGTCGATCCCAGTCCCGGTTTTAGTGATGGTGCCTGATCCTGCAGATCCTGGTGCTGATCCCAGTCCCGATCTCAGTGCTGGTGCCAATCCCAGTCTCAGTCCCGGCACCAATTCCAGTCCCGATTCTGATCCCAGTCCCAGTGCCGGTGCTGATCGCAGTGCCGCTCCCAGTCCCAGTGCCGACCACAGTGCCGGTGCTGCTCCCGGTCCTGAGCTCAGTGCCGGTGCTGCTCCCGGTCCTGAGCTCAGTGCCGGTGCTGCTCCCGGTCCTGAGCTCAGTGCCGGTGCTGCTCCCGGTCCTGAGCTCAGTGCTGGTGCTGCTCCTGATCCTGAGCTCAGTGCCAGTGCTGCTCCCGGTCCTGAGCTCAGTGCCGGTGCTGCTCCCGGTCCTGAGCTCAGTGCCGGTGCTGCTCCTGATCCTGAGCTCAGTGCCAGTGCTGCTCCCGGTCCTGAGCTCAGTGCCGGTGCTGCTCCCGGTCCTGAGCTCAGTGCCGGTGCTGCTCCTGGTCCTGAGCTCAGTGCCGGTGCTGCTCCCGGTCCGTCCCCGTGCCAGTCTCAGCGCCGGCGCCAATCCCAGTGCCAGTCCCAGCCCCACTCCCGGTGCATCCCAGCACTGCTCCCAGCGTGTCCCAGTGCAGCTCCCAGTCCATTCCAGCGCTGCTCTCACTCCCAGTCCTGCTCCCCGTGCGCCCCAGTGCGGCTCCCAGTGCCGCTCTCCCACTCCATCCTAGTGCGGCTCCCAGTCCGTCCCAGCACTGCTCCCAGCGTGTCCCAGTGCCGCTCCCAGTCCGTCCCAGTCCTGCCCCCACTGGCACTGCTCAGGGCGCGGGCAGCTCCCCGCGGATCTCGGGCAGGAGGTGGCAGCCGGTGACGATGTCCACGGTGGCGGCCACAGCCCGCAGGTCGCGCCGGGCCAGGCGCAGGCAGTGAGCGGCGGCAGCGGCGGCCGCTTGGGCCCTGCCCAGGGCCCCTCCCAGCCCCCCCAAATGTCGCGCCGCCCCCCCGTAGCTCTGCCGCAGGGCGCTGCCCACCGCCCCCCGCAGCCGCCCCGAGCCCTCCCGCAGCCGCTGCTGCAGCAGCGAGGGCCCCCCCCTGCCGCCCCCCCAAAGCGGCGCCGGTTCCTCAGGCAGCACTGGGGGGGGGCTGGTGCTCTGAACCCCGTCTTCTTCCTCCTCTTCCTCCTCTTCGGTCTCCGAGGCTTCCCCCGGCACTTTCAGCCCGGCCCCCGGGGCCCCCCCGCTCGCCCCCACCTGCAGCTCCGGCTCAGAGTCGCTCTCAGAGGCTTCACCCGGCACCACCCTGGGGGGACGGGAGGCTTCCATGGCCTGGGGGGGGGCGGGGGAAGCACCCCCCAAGTGACTCCAACCTAGAAGGGGGGGATGGGATGGGTGCTCTGGGCTTGGCCCCGGCAGAAGGTCTGCACCCCCCCCAGTGTCATGGGGAGCCCCCCCAGCACCCCACAGTGACCCCCCTCAGCCTCATGGAGTCCCCCCCAGCACCCCACGGGCACTGCTGGAACCCCCCAAACCTCACAGGGACCCCCCAGTACCCCACAGTGACCCCTGGGACCCCCCAGCCCCACAGAGCCCCCCCCCAGCACCTCACGGGGATCCCTGGGACCCCACACCAGCCCCACGGGGACACCCCTACCCCACTGAGCACCCCCCAGTGACCCTGAGGACCCTTCCAGCCTCACAGGGACCCCCCAGCACCCCACAGTGACCCCCCCAGCACCTCCCAGGGACCCCTGGGACACCCCCAGCCCCACGGGGACCCCATCAGCCCCACGGGGAGCCACCTAGTACACCCCAGCGATCCTGGGGACCCCCCGAGCACCCCACAGTGACCCCTGGGACCCCCCCAACCCCAGAGCCCCCCTAGAACCCCACGGGGACACCTGGGACCCCACAGTGACCCCTCTACATCCCCATGGAGCCCCCCCAGCACCCCCCAGGGACCACCGGGACCCCCCCAGCCTCATGGCGACCCCCAGCACCCCCCAGTGACCACCCCGGCCCCCCCCAGCCTCACGGAGACGCCCCAGCACCTCCCATGGACCCCTGAGACCCCCCCAGCCCCACAAATCCCCCCCATCACCCCACGGGGACCCCTGGGACCCCCACAGCACCCCACAGTGACACACACACCGCCTCCAAACCTCCCACCTCCTGCCCGACACCACCGTAGGTCACATGACAAGCGGCCCGCGCAAGCGCCGCGTCACGTGCGGCGCGCTGCCACCGCCTCCCGGAAGTGCCCTCACTCGGCATGGCGGGCCGGGCGCTGACAGCGAATTGCGCATGCGCAGGGAGGGCAGCGGTGGGGAGCGTGCTGCCCCCTGGCGGCGGGAGGGGAAGAGCCGCGGCGGGCAGCACTGGAGGGGAACTGGGGTGACGGGGGAACTGGGGGGGCACTGGGGGGGCACTGGGGTGACAGGGGCACTGGGAGGGGCTGGGGGGGAACTGGGGTGACGGGGGAACTGGGGGGGACTGGGGGGGCACTGGGAGGGGCTGGGGGGAACTGGGGTGATGGGGGAACTGGGGGGGACTGGGGGGGCACTGGGAGGGGCTGGGGGGAACTGGGGTGATGGGGGAACTGGGGGGGACTGGGGGGGCACTGGGGTGACAGGGGCACTGGGAGGGGCTGGGGGGGAACTGGGGTGACAGGGGAACTGGGGTGACGGGGAAACTGGGGGGGACTGGGGGGGCACTGGGAGGGGCTGGGGGGGAACTGGGGTGACGGGGGAACTGGGGGGGACTGGGGGGGAACTGGGAGAGACTTAGGGAGTATTGGCGTGATGGGGAAACTGAGAGGGACTGGGGGGCACTGGGAGAGGACTGGGGGGCACTGCGGGGGACTGAGAGAGGACTGGGTGATGGGGGCACTGGGGGGCACTGGGAGGGGACTGCAGGGCAGTGGGAGGGTCTGGGAAGGGACTGGAGTGACAGAGACACTGGTGGGACTGGGAGGGGACTGGGGGGACCAAGAAGGGACTGGGGCGGCCCTGGTGTCCCCTGTCCCCCATCCTGGGGACGCCCCGGTGTCCCCGTCCTGCCCCAGGGACACACCGAGTGCTGGTGACTGGTTTAATGGGGGCTCCAGGGGGTCCCGCAGGCTGGTGGTGGCACCTCCTGGGGACGGGGGGGGGGACACGAGCCTGGGGTGGCCCGTGACCAGAGACATCCTTGTGCCCAGAGCCACCATGTCCTGGTCCCCATCCCCACCCCGGGCCCCGAGCCCGGTGGCCGTGGTTGGGTGGCCGGTGGCCGTCGTGGGTGTCCCCCGGGGGTGGCTCAGCACTTGATGCAGGCGAGGGTGACGTCCCCGGCCACCTCCAGCTGGTCGATGGCCGTGGGTGGCAGCCGGTAGCCGTAGTCGCAGACGTGGCGCCCGTTCACCCACAGGCCGAAGGCCTGGCTCAGCGGCCGAATCTCCAGCTGGGTGACCCCAGCGTCACCACGAGGGATGGGGACCCCCACCCTGGGGACCCCCACCCTGGGGACCCCCACACCGGATCGAGGCCCCACCCAGGAGTATGAGCTGGGCTGGGACTGGGACTGGAACCAGTTTAGGACTGGGACTGGCCCCAGGAGCAGGATCAGGACCACAATCGGGACTGGGCCCCGGATCAACACTGGGACCAGGACCAGGGTTGGGACCAGCATTAGGACTGGGATCTGGACTGGGACCGGGACCAGGACCAGGGTTGGGACCAGAATTAGGACTGGGATCTGGACTGGGACCGGGACCAGGACCAGTATCATGACCTCAACTGGGAGTGGGCCCAGGATCAGCTCTCGGATCAGGACCAGGATTGGGAACAGGACTGGGACTGGAACCAGGACCCGTATCAGGATCTCAACTGGGACTGAGCCCAGGAGCAGCACCAGGATCAGGCCCCATGACCCAGATCAGGACTGGGACCAGGATTAGCATCAATCAGGACCATAACTGGGACCAGGATCAGGACTGAGCTCAGGATCAAGATGGTGACCGTGTCCAGGACCAGAACCGGAACCAGGATCAGGACTGAGACCAGACCCATGTCCAGGGCTAAGAGGAGAACTAGGACTGGGGCCAGGACTGGGACCGCAAGCAGGACTGGGACCATGTCCAGGACTAGGACCAGGACCAGGACTGAGAACAGATCTAGGACTAGAAATAGGACTAGGACTGGGGTCACGACCGGGACCGGGACCGGGACTGGGACTGGGACCAGGCCCATGTCCAGCGCTAAGAGCAGAACTAGGACTGGAACCAGGACTGAGACTGGAACCAGGACTGGGACCATGTCCAGGACAAGAACCAGTACTAGGACTGGGATCACAACCAGGCCCAAGACCAGGAACATGTCCAGGACCAGAATCAGGACCAGGACCAGGACCGAGACCAGAACCAGGACTAGAACTAGGATTAGGGCTGGGATCACGACCAGGACCATGTCTAGGACCAGAACTGGGACCACAAGCAGGACTGGGACCAGAACTGGGACCAGGACCAGGACCAGGACTAAGACCAAGACCAGGAACATGTCCAGAACAAGGAGCAGGACTGGGACCAGGACTAGAACTGAGACCAAGACCAGGAACATGTCCAAGACCAGAACCAGGACCAGGAGCAGGACTGGGAGCAGGACTCGAACTGGGACCAGGAGCAGGACTGGGACTACAACCGGGACTGGGACTGGGAGCAGGACTGGGAGCAGAGGTGGCCGCGGCGCCGGCGCTCACCTGGAAGGGCTGCCCGCGCTGGAAGGGCATGGCACCCGCGGTGTGCCGCTCCTCGGGGCCCCAGCACCCATCCTGCCGGGTGTTGCGCACCAGCACGGCCTCGCGCAGGCGGGGGTTGACATGCAGCACCACGTCCCCCGAGCTGCTGCTCCACAGGTTGGCATGGAACCTGCGGCCGGGGGCAGCCGTCCAGCACCCAGCACCCAGCCCTGAAACCTCCCCAGCCCCCAGCACCCAGCCCAGGACACCCCCCCCCAGCCACAGCACCCAGCCCTGAAAGCCCTGGAACCGCAACCAGCACCCAGCCCTGAAACCTCCCCAGCCCCCAGCTCCCAGCCCTGAAACCTCCCCAGCCCCCAGCTCCCAGCCCTGAAACCTCCCCAGCCCCCAGCACCCAGCCCAGGACACCCCCCCCAGCCCCAGCACCCAGCCCTGAAAGCCCTGGAACCGCAACCAGCACCCAGCCCAGGACACCCCCCCCCAGCCCCAGCCCCCAGCCCAGGACCACCCCCCCCTCCCAGCAAACAGCACCCAGCCCTGAAACTACCCCCCACCCCCAGCACCCATCCCTGGAACTGCAACCAGCACCCAGCACCCAGCACCCATCCCTGAAAGCCCCCAGCCCCCAGCCCTGAAACCTCCCCAGCCCCCAGCATCCAGCCCAGGACACCCCCCCCCCCCCCAGCACCCAGCACCCAGCCCTGAAAGCCCTGGAACCACAACCAGCACCCAGCCCTGAAGCCTCCCCAGCACCCAGCACCCAGCCCTGAAAGCCCCCCAGCCCCCAGCCCTGAAATCTCCCCAGACCCCAGCACCCAGCCCCGAAAGCCCCCCAGCCCCCAGCACCCAGCCCTGAAACCTACCCAGCACCCAGCACCCAGCCCAGGACTCCCCCCCCGCCCAGCACTCAGCACCCAGCCCTGGAACCGCCCCCCATTCCCAGCACCCAGCCCTGAAACCTCCCCAGCACCCAGCCCAGGACCCCCTCCAGCACCCAGCACCCATCCTTGGAACCGCCCCCAGAACCCAGCCCTGGAACCACCCCCCATTCCCAGCACCCAGCACCCATTCTTGGAACCGCCCCCAGCACCCACCACCCATCCTTGGAACCACCCCCAGCACCCAGCCCAGGATTCCCCCCAGCACCCAGGACCCAGACCTGGAGCCCAAATCCTGCAGCACCCTGACCCCCCCCCAGCACCCTGACCTGGTGGCGTTGGGGTGGACGGTGCCCACGATGCTGATGGGCTGGATGAGGCCCGAGGGCCCCTTGCTCAGCACCATGTGGAAGGGGACACTCTGCGGGGACACCCATCAGATCCTGGGGACCCCCCACCCACCGGCACCCACCAGCACCCACCCACTGGCACCCACTGGCACCCTGCGCTCACCGGGCTGCTGATGGTCACCGGCGTGTAGAGCTGTGTGAGGAGGAGAGTGGGTGCTGGGGGGGGGCGATGTCCCCTGGGTCACATGGGCATGTGCACCCCTGAGGCCACCCATGGATGCTTGGAAGGGTCTGTGCACCCACACACCCACCCATGGGTGCTCACAGGCACCCCCACACCCCTGCACCCACCCATGGGTGCTTGGATGGGCCTGTGCACCCCTGCACCCAACTATGGGTGCTCAGAGACACCCATACACCCACCCGTGGGTGCTCACAGGCACCCCCACACCCCTGCACCCACACATGGGTGCTCACACGGGCTTGTGCACCCCTGCACCCATCTATGGGTGCTCAGAGACACCCATACACCCACCCGTGGGTGCTCACACGGGCTTGTGCACCCCTGCACCCAAAAACCCACCCACACACCCTCGTGTCCACCCCCCAGCACCCCCATTTGCTGACTCCCGGCTGCCCCACCACCCCCACCCTTGGGTGCCCCAGCACCCTGACACCCCCCCCCCCGCCCCCCCACTCACGGGGGTCTCCGGGGGGGGCAGCGCCGGGGCCCCGACAGCTGCAGCCGCGTGCTGGGGGTGGGGAGGGACAGGGGCTGGGGACAGGGCCACCATGGGGCGGGGACATCAACCCCCTGACCCCCCAGATGTTCCCAACCCCGGATGTCCCCAACCCCCGTGAATGTCCCTAAGCCCTGGATGTCCCCAACCCCTGGATGTCCCCAACCCCCTTGATTTCCCCAACCCCCTCAAGGTCCCCAACCCCATGAATGTCCCCAACCCCCGAGATGTCCCCAACCCCCGAGATGTCCCCGACCCCCTTGATGTCCCCACCCCCTGGATGTCCTCAACCCCCTTGAGGTCCCCAACCCCCTCGATGTCCCCAACCCCTGGATATCCCCAACCCCTGAATGTCCCCAACTCCCTTGAGGTCCCCAACCCCATGAATGTCCGCACCCCATGAATGTCCCCGACCCCTTGATGTCCCCAACCTCCTGGGGTTTCCAATCTCCTGGATGTCCCCAACCCCCCGGGGTTCTTGATCCCCCCAGATGTCCCCAACCCCTCCAGATGTCTCCATGGTGGTCTCAGTCTGTCCCTCCCTGGGTGTCCCCAACTCCTGGATGTCCCCTTGTCGTCCTGTCCCCTCCTGCCCCCCGCCGGAGGTCCCTGCTCACGGTGAAGGTGACGCAGCTGAGGGTGACGTCACCGGTGACCTCGAGGGTCTGGACGCTGGTGAGGGGCAGGCGGTGCAGGAACTCCAGCGCGTGCCGCCCGTTCACTGCCACCTGCGGGGACATCGGGGACATTGGGGACATCGGGGACATCAGAGATATTGGGGACAGTGGCGACATCAGGGACATTGGGGATAGAGGGGACAGAGGGGATAGAGGGGATGAGAGGGGACATTGGGGACAGGGGACATAAGAGATAGTGGGGATATTTGGGACAATGGGGGTGCTTGGGGACATCGGGGCATTGGGGACTTTGGGGACATCTGGGACATTGGGGACAGAGGGGACATAGGGGATAGCGGGGACACTGGGGACACTGGAGATATTTGGGGACATCAGGGACATTGGGGACAGAGGAGACATTGGGAACAGGGGAGACATAAGGGATAGCAGGGACACGGGGGATAATTGGGGACACGGGGGACATCGGTGATATTTGGGGACACCAGGGACACTGGGGATGTTGGGGACATCAGGGACATTTGGGACATAAGGGATAGCGGGGACATTGGGGACACCGGGGATATTTGGGGACACTTGGGACATCGGGGACCTTGGGGCTGGCGGGTGGCGGCCCCAGTGGGCGTGTCCGAGTGGGCGTGGCCCGGCAGGGGGCGTGTCCCACCTGGTAGCCGCTCTGGCGGGCGCTGATGAGGATCTCGAGGGTCCCCCCGGGGCGGAGGGGGAGGTGGGGGGCGCAGCGCTCCTCGGGCCCCCAGCGCCCCCCCAGCCGCGCGGCGCAGCCCAGCGCCGCCCCCCATCCGAAACGGGAGCTCAGCTGCAGCGCCACGTCCCCCCCCGCGCAGCGCAGGGCCACGGTGAACCTGCCGCGGCGACACTCGTGGGAGGGGGGGGCACCCAGACACACACACACCCCCCCGCCCCCAGCACCCCAAAAACCCCCCCAGCCCCTGAGTGCGGCACCCGCTGCCCCCCTATATTCATGGGTTGGGGGGCCCCCTTTAACCACCCCCCCCGGCGTGAGGACACCCCCAGCCCTCCTTGTCCCCCCCCTCCCCGGCTTGGGGCACCTCCTGCCCCGCCCCCCCCCCCCTTCTATGATTTGGGGGGCCCCCCTCCGCACCTCGCCCCCGGTTTGGGGACACCCCCAGCCCCCTCTTTTCCCTCCCCCCCCCCGGCTTGGGGACACCCCCAGCCCTCCCCGTTCCCCCCCCGCCCCGGATCTGGGGACGCCCCCCGTCCCCCCTTTCCCACCCCGCCCCCCGCCCTCCCCCTCCCGCTGCCACCAAACCTTTGCCCTTCCCTATGGCACTCTGCCAGTTTTGGGTGCGGCTGCTGGGGCGGGGATACTGGGTGGGGGATACTGGGGGGCACTGGGAGGAGCGGGGGGGGCACTGCGGGGGGGTACCCACCTCTTCGCCTGGGGCTGGACCTGCCCCTGGATTATCACCATCCTTCCCCCACTCAGCCCCCCGAAGATGTACCCCAGGAAGGGGACGCTCTGGGGACATGGGGGGGGGGGGCACACACACACGGTGACTCCGGGGGACACACCAGAGTCACTGTCCCCCTCTTCCCCCCTGCCCCATATGGCTCCCCGGGCCCCCTATGGCCCCCCAGCCCCATACAGCACCCCCACCCTATATAGCTGCCCCCCCTTTAGACCCATATAGACCCTCCAGTCTCATACGGCCACCCCCAGCCCTATAGGATCCCCCCCGGCCCCATAGGATACCCCTGGTCCCATAGGGTCCCCCCTGACCCTATAGGGTATCCATTGTCCCCACAGAATGTCCCTGTCCCCATAGGGTCCCACTCAGCCCCATAGGATCCCCCCCACCCTATAGGATACCCCTGATCCCATAGGGTCCCCCAACCCCATAGGATCCCCCTTGGCACCATAGAATATACTTGTGCCCATAAGGTCCCCCTTGTGCCCCCCATAGGACCCCCCATATATCCACAGGGTCCCCCCTGTCCCCATAGAATATCCCTGTCCCCATAGGTTCCGCCTCAGCCCCATAGGGTATGCCTGGTCCCATAGGATCCCCCCCACCCCGTAGGATCCCCTGGCCCCTTTGAGCTCCTCTGCTCCCATACCCACCCCCCCTGGCCCTATAGACCCCATAGGGCCCCGCTCACGGGGTTGATGATGGGGGGCTGCAAGTCCATGGTGGCTGGGGGGGTCCTTCAGGTGGGGGGTGCTGGGTGCCGGATCCCCTGGGTGCTGTGTCCCCTGGGTGCTGCTGGGCCCCCAGGCGGGTGCGGCCCCTCCCCGCTGACCTCTGCCCTCCCCCACCTCGCGCTTTCGTTTCGTCACGGTGCCACCTGCGTCACCCTTGTCCCCATGGGGACCCACTCGTGTCCCCCTCCCCCCCTACCCCCCCGCCATCCCCGTGTCCCCCCCACAGCCCCCGGTGTCCCCTGGCGGGGGGGTGTGCTGGGACCGAGGGACCCAGGGGGACACCGGCTACCCCCCCGCAGTGACACGTGTGGCCGCTCGGCCCTTTTCGGGGTGTCGGGGCCACCACCAGGAAATGCCACCGCTGCCACCCACCCCCGGGCAGGATCCGGCCCGGCTTCTCATGGCCCCATGTCCCCGTGTCCCCCACATCCCCCCATGTCCCCCATGTCCCCTGTGTCCCTGTGTCCCCTGTCACCCCCATCCCCTGTGTCCCCTGTGCCTTCCTTGTCCCCATGTCCCTGCATCCCTGTCCCCCACGTCCCCATGTCCTCTGTGTCCCTGTGTCCCCGTGTCCCATGTCACCTCCATCCCGTGTCCCCCATCACCTCCATCCCGTGTCCCCCATGTCCTGCGTGTCCCCATGTCCCTGTCCCCTGTGTCCCATGTCACCTCCACCCCCTGTGTACCCTGTCTCCATCTTGTCCCCATGTCCCTGCTTTCCTGTCCCCCAAGTCCTGCGTGTCCCCTGTGTCCCCTTGTCCCCCGTGTCCCATGTCACTTCCATCCCCTGTGTCCCCTTGTCCCCATGTCCCTGCGTCCTTGTCCCCCATGTCCCCCATGTCCCCTGTGTCCCCGTGTCCCATGTCACCTCCATCCCCCGTGTCCCCCGTGTTCCCTTGTCCCCATGTCCCTGTATCCCTGTCCTCACCCCATCTCCTGTGTCCCCCCCCAAGTCCCTGGTGTCCCCAATGTCCCCTGGACCGATCCAGTCCCCTGGACACTCCCGTTAACTCTTTCCTGGTCAGGGGTGCCAGAGCTGCTCTTGGGGTGGAACCCCCCCTTTTAGTGATGGGGTGGGTGGCTGCCCCGTGTCACCAGTGTTAGTGGCCAGTGAGTGTCACTGGTGCTGGTGGCTGGCAGCTGCCACCTGTGCCTGGGCCAGCAGGTTCCTCTGGCAGGAGCCACAGGAAGCGGCGGTGTCACGACGATGGCAGCGCGATGGCATGTCACGGCGATGTCACGGCGATGTCACGGCGATGTGGCGGTGGCGAGGCGATGGCACGGGCAGTGGCAGTCCCCTTAGGCTGGCTGCTGGCCCTGCCTGGCGGGGGGTCCCCATGGCCCTGGAGGCCCTGCATCCCCCATGTCCCCCTGTCCTTGTGTTCCCTCTGTCCCCTGCATCCCCCACGTCCCCCCTGCCCCCCCTGTCCCCTGCATCCCCCATGTCCCCTCATGTCCCCCATGTCTCCGCATCCCCCATGTCCCCATGTCCCCACTGTCCCCTGCACCCACCATCTCCCCCCTGTCCCCTCTGTCCCCACTGTCCCCTGCATCCCCCCATGTCCCCCACGTCCTCTGAATCCCCATGTCCCCTCTGCCCCCACCTCATCCCTTGTCTCCAGCCCTGTCCCCCTACCCCCGTCCCATGTCCCCAGCCCTGTCCCCGTGTCCCCAGCCCAGCCCACACCCCTGCCTGCCGTGGGGCTGGAGCCGGGCGTAGCTGGGCCCTGACTCAGGAGAAGCTCCCGCCGGCGCAGCCGGAATTTCTGCTCACCCCACACCCAGCGATTTCCTCCCGGCCCCGGTGGCAGGGCCGGATCCTGACCCCGTATAAAGCCGGTGCTGAGCTGGCGCTGGGACCGATGTGGCCGGAGGCAGGCGGGGATGGAGCCGGTGGCGCTGCCCAGGGTAGGATGGGGACAGGGATGGGGACGGGGCAGGACAAGGGCCCTGGGGGGTTCCGGGGGGGGCTTGGGGGGTGGGTGCTGGAGCGGAGAGGGTGCAGGGCCCCAGCCACCAGTGTCCCCAGTACAGGCTGGGCTAGGGTCACCAGTGTCCTCGGGACAGGCTGCCCCATGGTGACCAGTGTCCTTTCCATAGGCTGGGCTGGTGTCACCAGTGTCCCCAGCACAGGCTGTCCCACGGTCACTGGTGTCCCCTGTATAGGCTGCTCCAAGGCCACCAGTATTCCCAGCAGGAGCTGTTCCACAGTCACCAGTGTCCCCAGTCCTGGCTGATCCTGTGCCCCTCGGACAGGCTCTTGCAGAGTCTCCCCAGATCAGGATGCTCCAGTGCCACCAGTGCTCCCAGCCCAGCCTGCCCCTTGGCCCCCAGTGGCCCCATCACCAGTGGCAGCCTGGCCCCAGTACCCAGGAGGCCAGTTTGTCCTGGTTAGTGCCCATCACCCCACTCCAGTCCATCCCAGTCTGTCCTCACACCCCTCCTAAACCCTCCCACCAGCCAGGTCCCCCCCTTGGGCCCCCAGGGCCACTTGGGGAGGGGACGTGGGGTCCCTGAGGCCCTTGGGGACAAGGATGGGCTCACCCAGGCCAAGAGCAGGATTTCGGTGCCAAAACACCCCAAATCACCCCAAAACCATGAGGTGGCTCTGAGACCACAGTGTCCCTGTGTCCCCATGGGGTCCCCATGTCCCTGTGCCCCATGGTGTCCCCATGGTGTCCCCATGGTGTCCCCATTTCCCTCTGTCCCTGTTGCGTCCCCATTTCCCCATGGGGTACCCATGTGTCCCCTGCCCCCCAGCTGTCCCTGGGGTGTCCCCGGGGTGTGTAGCGGGTGCCACCTGTCCCTCTCTCTGGCAGGGTACCTGCTCGCTGGCATGTGGGGGGGCCGTGGCGGGACCCCCGGGGTGCTGTGAGGAGCGACTGGCCTGCCTGGGCCCGGGGGGGGACACCTGCGCTGCCCGTGACGGTGCCTTCGTGGAAGTGGAGCCCGGGGAGAACCGAGGTACCGGGGGGACAGGGGCACCGGGGGGCTGGGTCCTCCTTCTTGTGTCTGGCCATCCCACTGCATCCCACCAAATCCCATTCCATCCCACCCCTTCCCCACCACATCCCCATCCCATTCCATCCCTCCTCATCCCACCCCTATCCTATCCCAACCCTATCCTATCCCATCCCCATCCTCATCCCATCCCACCCCATCTCACCCCCGGTCCCATTGCCATCCCATCCCATCCCATCCCATCCCCATCCCCATCCTATCCCAACCCCAACCCCATCCCCATCCCATCTCACCCCCAGTCCCATCCTCATCCCATCCCATCCCATCCCACCCCCATCCAACCCAGTTAGCCTCCCCCCCTATTCTGCATTCCCCCCATCCCCCTATTCCCCCTCTCCAGGACTTGACGTCCCCATTACCGCCGCACCCACATCCCCATTGCCAGGGGGGCAGGGGGTGGAACCCCCCCACTCGATGAGTTTGGGGGTGGGGCACAGGGTGACCCCCGTGTCCCCTCCCGCTCCCAGAGGCGCTGACGGAGGATGACATCTACTGCCGCTGCCTCTCCAAGACGCTGTGCCACACGGCCACCCCTGTCACCGTTGGCTTCTACGCGCCCTGTGGCCACCGCCTCTACTCCCTGCTGGACAAGGTCACCGGTGGGTGTGGGGACACAGGGCCACCACGCGTCACCCCCCCCGCCACAGGGACCCCCCCCCAGCCAGCCCCGGCTGGGCACTGAGGGTCCCTGGGGCACCCACCTCCCACCCCTTCACATCCCGGACCTCAGTGCCACAGCACCCATCCTGCTCCCCTCTCCTCACCCCCAGATTTGGGGTCCTTCCTGCTTGTCCTGTCACCCCCTTTTCCTTCTACAGCTTCGGGGTGCCAGCACCCACCCCACCCCGCTTTCCCCCCCGAGGTTTGAAGCCCCTCTTGCATGAACACCCATCCCACGTTGTCCTATGCTCCCCGTTGCACCAGCACCCCGTCCCCGACTTGGGGCACCCTCACCCCCTGCTCCCTCACCCCAACCCCCCCAGGCTTCATGCGGGAGGAGATGGCTCAACGGGAAGAGGCCGAACTGCACCGGAGCCACCAGAAACCACGGACCCCTGAGGGCTGGGGGTTGCTGTTGGCCCTCTGGTACTTGGCCTTCTACAAGCCCATCATCACCGAGAGCCACCTGAGGAGGAAGAACATCGAGTTCATCTTCATCCGCTTCAGCGCCTGGCAGTATGCCGGCTGCGACAAGCTCTGGGCCGGTTTGGTCACCACCCTCTGCGACAGCATCCGCCACCATTTCGGGGCTCTGCCCCTCAGCGTCTACCACGTCATGGGCACCCGGCCCCGCTTCGCCTCCGGCTTCAGCCAGAAGGAGTGGGTGCTCAAGAAGGGTGCCTGCCTGAAGCTTTGGGGGCTGCTCTTTGTCCTCGGTGCCGGCCTCAGCATCCTGCTGGTGGCCCTTTTGGTGCCCGGCATCAAGGATCACCACGCTTTGAAGGTGGTGGGCAGCGCCGTCACCTCCCTCTCCGGCTCCGGTTTGGTGCTGGGAGCTTTCTCCATCTTGAAGAACCTGTTGGTCAGCGAGAAGCAGAAGATCGAGCGGCTGACCAACAGCGAGAAGTTTGCCAGCCAGCTGGGCTTCATGAGCAAGGTGCGCAACGAGGTGCAGCTGCTGGTTGACTTCTTGGCCTTTATGGAGATCTTCGAACGCCGGCGGCTCCGCGTGGTGCTGGAGATCACCAGCTTGGACATCTGCTACCCGGAGAAGGTGGCCGGTGTCCTCAATGCCATGAACACCTTGCTCTCCGACACCAACACTCCCTTCATCTTCCTCCTGGCCGTGGACCCCAGCGTCATCGTCCCCTGCCTGGAGCAAACCGGCTGCATGAAGGGTCTTGCCGACAACGGTTACCTCTACCTCAACCGGACGGTGACGTTGCCCTTCTCCATCCCCGAGATGGGCGCCCGCTCCCGCCTGCGGTTCCTGGAAGCCGCCGTCCAAACGCGGGAGGACCTCATGTACCGCATCATCACCAGCAACGTGGAACGCCGCCGCGCCAAATGCCAGCACGTCCCGGCTCCTCCCAGCCGGCGCGAGACGGACGCTGAAGCTGTCCGCTGCATCCACGAAGCTTTCCGTTGCCTCCACAACGGCGACGACCCGCTCGCCCGCTACCTCCCCACCGACGGCACCCACGTCCGCCGCATCGTCAACACCATCCCCATCACCCTACGGCTCCTCCTTCACCGTGCAGGCACCCCTGGCACCCCCTCGCCCCGGGCTGCCGCCGCTTGGGTTGTACTGGCCGACCAGTGGCCGTGCCGGTTGAGTTGGGCGCTGCAGTGTTTGGAAGACGCTTGGCAAAGCCAACCGCCGCCGGCTTTTGCCACGCGATCCTTGTGGAGCATCTTCCAGGAGAACGTGGGCGAGCTGAGTGCCCTGCGGCAGCCCCTGCGCAACGTCCTCAGCCTGGACGGGGACCCCGAGCTCTTCCAGGCTTTTCTCGGCTGCGACTTCCCCTTCGCCGCCAGCGACGCCCGCGCTTTCCTCGGCGTCACCGTCAACCTGGACCACTCCATCCGGCACAAGATGGGGCTCCTCCGCGGGCTCAGCCGCCTGCAGAAAGCCGCCGCTGCCCCGGTGTCCCGCAGCGTCCAGTGTCCCCACCCTGAGTGAGGGTGACGCCGGTGCTGGGGCTCCAGGTGACGCCTCTCACCACGGGACCCCCAGAAGAAGCCGGGATGCAGCGGTGGGGGCACACCTTAGGGCGCCCGTCACCTGTTGCTTCCCCCCACCCCGGGCAGACTTTGGGACCTGTTTGGGGACAATTCTGCACCTCCCCTGTCCCCAAGAGATGCTGCAGGGGGTGAAAATGCCAGCAGGGGATGGAACTGGGGGGACTGGAGAGACTGGGGGACACCCAAGATGACCTAGAGGGTTCCAGGGGGGTGTCGCTGCCATCCCGGGGACCCCAGCACCCAAGTGACCCCCCAACACCCCCACACCTGGGACCCCAGCACCCACCACCCCCCAGCACCCTTTGGGGACTGTCCCCTTGTGAGTGGGTCCCTGGGGGGGGGGCACATCCTCCCTCCCAGTAAGCCCCAAAGCAGCCACTGGTGTCAGTGCTGGGGTGACCCCAATGTGGGGACATCCCCAAGCTCCCAGTGAAGCACCCCAGGGATCGTCCCGTAATAAACCAGTTAAATCTGCTCCATGTCTTGGCTTAAATAGGCTTTTGGGGGGGTCTGTGTCCTCCTGTGTGTGTGTGGGGGGAAGGGGCTGGAAAATGTGGGCTTGGGGGGCTGCTGATTTTGGGGGGAAATCAGCCCAAACCGCTGCTGGAAGGGATGGCACATGCTGAGAGATGGCAATTGCCCCAAAACTTTTCACTGGCATTTCCTCCACGCTCTGGAAAAAAATAAAAGTCCTTCTTGAGGTTCTTTTTTTTTTTTTCCTTTGAGGGGTTGTTTTCAGCAAAGTGTGCACACACACCCTTAAAAAAAGCTGAATTTTGAGGCAGGGAATGACCCAAAGAGGGTGATATGGGGGGGGGTTTGTTGGGGGGAGTCGGTGAAGAATGCAGATCTCGTTTAATAGAAAACAGTGTTAACAAAAATACACGACAGAAAGAAACGACAAAACACCAGCAGATCGATGGCCGTAGCCCCCGGCCGTAGTGTCAGCGCCGCAGCCCCCCCCCAGCCCCGGCCCCCCCCGGTGCCCGGCCCCGTGCCCGCAGCTCCCTGATAGATTTATTGCACTTAAGAAAGAAAAGCGACGCGTCCTTCCCCCCACCCCCCAACCTTCTCCCCGCCACCCGAGACACCCCCCCGCATTGTCCCCAAAACTCCCCGAGGCCGGGCAGGACCCCCGTCCCCTCCCTGAGAAAAGCAGCCGCTGCGCCCCGAAAAGGCTCGGCCGGCCCCGGGGAGCACAGGGAGGGGGGGCGGCCGGGGCAAAGGGCAGGGGGCATGGGGGTGTCCCCCCCTTCCCTCTCCAAGGGTCCCTCGCCCGCCGGTTTTCCCCTGGGGAGGGGATTGGGGGAAGCTGGGATGGAGAAGATGCCACCAAGGGAAGCGGCTCCTTGGATCCTTCCCCCCTTCCCCCTCTCCAAAAAAAGGGGGTTCCCCCCCTCCCTGGCACAGCTGGCTGCGAGGAAGCGGCTGCTGCTCCTCCTCCAGCTCCTCTGGAACCCCTTGCGTGGGGGGTGGCTCTACTTAATGCTGCTTTTCGTGTTTCCATTATTATTATTTCCCCCCCTCCCTCCCCACGGCAGCGCAGGAGCAGGAGTTGAGTTGCAGGTTACCCCTGCAGGAATTAAAAAATTCTACCACCATACTCTCACTCCCCCCTGCCCCACACCCCCGCCTCCCCTCCCCCCCTCCCCCCCCCCCCCGGAATTTTGCAGATGATGATAAATAAGATACCGAAAATGAACAAACCAATCAAAAAAAAAAAAAAAAAAAAAAGAAAAGGAACCGAAAAATAAATAACCATTGTGGCTGCGGCCGCAGCCTGTCCTGGGTATCTTTAGTGACAGAGGTTCCCCCGCGGGCGCCGGCAGCCCGACCCTGCGGCTCTTCATCCTTCTCCTGGCACGTCCCGCGGCGCCTCGGTCCCTGTAGTGTGTGGTTTTAAGGTGGGGGGTTCATCCTGCGCAGACCCTTCACTCCTCCTCCTCCTCAGGAGATAGAAAATGAAAAGGCGAAGGCGGCGGGTCGGGTAGTGTCCGGCGAGGGCAGCGACGGCCTTGGGTGGGTCATTTTTCTCGGTCGCCTTTCCTCCGTCACCCTGGGGACACAGCGCGGTCCCTCTGCCCCGGGAAAGGCAAGTTGGGTGCCTGAGGAAGAGCCCGAGGGGCAGGAAAGTGGTTTTGGTTTTTTGTTTTGTTTTGTTTTGTTTTTTTTAGGGGGAAAAAAAAAAAAACAAAACAAAAACCAAAACCCAAATGTAAAACAACCCTTTTAGCCCCAAAGCCCGAGGTTGGTTTCGTAATCGTTGTGTGGAGTGGGAAGAGAACCAAAGCTCCGCCGGAGCCTCCCCGCGACGCCGAGCGGCCCCGGGGGACCTGTGAGAGAGAGGAGAGATGGGGGGCTGGGGTCCCCAACCCTTGGGGACACCCTCAGGGTTGTCCCCAGCCCTTGGCCCCGCTCTCACCTGGGGTCACAGCGGCTCCTGCCCCGCGTCCTGGCTGGCCTCGAGGAGCAGCTCCTCCAGCTCCTGCTCGTTCTTGCAGCAGCTCAGCTCTGCAAGCAAACGGCCACCGTTGCCTTCGCTGGATGGTCTCCCCCCCTTTTTTTTTTTTTTTAATCCCCTCCAAAACGTACGTGGGGGAACACAAGGCGTTAGCCTGCCCGCTAACGAAGGGGCTCAATGAGTTTCCTGCTCATTTAGGAGCCTAATTAAGCAGCAGTTTAAAGAATGAAGGCTCTGAAGCACAGGGAGATCCGCTTGGGGTTAAAAATCCCCCTGGGAAAAGCCCCCCAGCAGCACGTCACCGTGCCTGCAGGGCTCCCCCACACTGCCCCGTCCCCGCTAATTTTGGGAGAGAGCGGCTGGAATTCTGAGGACTGTCAGAATCTGGGGGTGGGGGGGCTGGTTCTGGAGCTCTTACCGTGCTCGGCGGCGCAGCTCGCCGTTTTCCCGTTGCCGTCCGAGGTGGTTTCGGGCAGCGCTCGTGCAAAATCCACCTTCAGGCCGTTGGGGAGGGGAGTGTCGTGGGCCACGCTCTCGCAGGCCGGGGGGCCGCCCCGCTCGGGCTCGCAGCCGGGGTTCGGCGTCGCCAAGCCACCGGCGGATTCGGGAACGGTTCCGTTTGCCCGGGGCGCCGGGAGTTCGGGATTTGGGGCCGGAGCTGGGCTCTGGGGCTCAGCTGGTTTGTCGACGTCCTCGGCGGGTTGCTCCGGCAGGCTCTCCACTCGCGTCACCACAAAGATTTTATGGCCTCGCCCGGGGCTGGAGACCGAAATCCTTCTCTCGTTTCCCTGGGAGGGCGTCGAAGCCGGAGAGGCGGCAGGACTCCCTGCGCCGGCATCGCGCGGCGATTCCTCGGCGACGTGCAAGGGGGGAGGCCGGACCCTCGGCTTCTCCAGGGAGTTTTGGGGAGCGCTATCGGCAGAGCCGGGGCGTTCCAGGGAGACGCTCGAGTCCTTTGTCTCTAACCCAGCGTCCACCTCCTCGTCCGTGTCCGAATCGGAGTCCGACACGTCGCCTCTGTCGTCATCCTCCGGCTCCGCTGCCCCGTTCTCCGAGGCCGTGGGGGTCTCCCCAGCTTCTTCCCCCTCTTCCGGCGCGGAGGCGGCGCCGCCATCGCGGCCATCCTCTGCCGAACCCTCCTCCAAAGGCTCCGTCACGGCGATCTCCGGCATCGAGGCCGACTGCTGCAGCTTCTGTTCCTTCTCCTCCTTCTCTTTGGCCAGGACGAAGTTGCGCTTGCAGCCGTTCTGGATCTCGGCCAGAAGAGCCTTTTGGGTCTCGATGAAACTTTTTACCTGCGTGGGAAGGGAAATGGTCAGAATGTGGGGAAATCAGTGGTCTGGGAACAATCGGCTCCACGTTTCCGGCACACTGTAACAGGGTGGGTTTTTTTTTTTTTCCCTTGGTATTTCCTCAAGAAACAACTAAATCGCCCAAGAACTGTGCTGCCCCCGAGGGCTTCTTCATAAAGTGATCACTGCCAGGATCGAGGGAATCCCCAGTGAACCCGAGCGATGGCTGAGTCCTGCTCAGACACCCCCAGAAATCCCCCCTGCCGTGACCCGAGCTGCAATGGCGGGGTGCTCGGCGTCCCAGCTGGCCAAGCTCTGCACAAAACCACGCGGCCACGGGCCAGGCAGGAATTAAATTTCACCTGGAAAATGGGAAAGCGGCCGAGCCGAGCCGAGACTGGAGGCGTTTTCCCGCTGGGGGTGGGAGGGAGGAGGCTCAAGGAGACCCCCAAAACAGGAAATGAGGGGTGGGCGCGTTACCTACCGACTCCTTCTTGGGCTCCCGGTCCAAGTCGAGGCGCAGCAGCGAGTGGTTGACCTTGAGGGCGAGTGACAGGGCCATGAGGCCGCCCGTCTTGATCTCGTTCTCCCGCAGGTCCAGGCGAAGCAGCCGTGGGCTCTCGGCGATGAATTCCGCCACTGCCACGGCACCTGCGAGGGACCGGGGAAAAAAAAAAAAAAAAAAAAAAAATGGTTTCTGCAGGCAGGGCGCAGATGCCAGAGGCACCAAATGCACTGGGTGAAGTGGCTGTGGACACGCCAACCGCAGCGTTTTGGTTGGACCCAGGCTGTGTGTCCCCCCTGGAGACCCCCCACGCTGAGCCGAACAAGACCGAGCTGCCTTCTCAAGGATTAAAGCGGACGCCGTGCACGGCTCCGGAGCAAAGGAAGGTCCGCCGGACCCACGGAGCTTCCCCTGGGCCACGGGCCTCTACTCACCTTCGCAGGTCAGTTTGGTGGACGCCAAGCCCAGGCGAAGGACGGAGCGGTTCCCGATCAGCCCGTTCTTCAGGTTGCGGACGCCCTCGTTGCCAATGGGATTGTGGCCCAGGTTCAGGGTCTCCAGGCTCTGCGTGTGAGGCTGCGGGGGTAGCCAGAGGGGGGGGGAAATAAAATAAAAAACAGCTTGAGGCGGACAGGATGGTGGGTCTGTCTTGAGGCTGAGGGGGTTTAATTCCCGGCTGCTCCTCCAAATGCGCTGCTGAGGGGGAAAAAGGGATGGGCTTCTCCTCTGACGCGGCACTGGGGTGGGTACGCAGCGTGGCTCGGGTCCCGGTGATGGTGAAGGGAGGGAGGGGAGACATCTCTCCGAGAGTACCGCCGTGAAGGTGTCGGGATCTACTCACCAGCGTCATCCCCAGGTAAGCCATGCCGGTGTGAGTCAGCTGGTTGTTCCACAAAACCAGAGTGACCAGCCCCCTCCGCTGCTCCTTCAGCCCTTCGCAGATATACGCCAAGCCTGGAAAAACAGCCCAGGGTGGGGGGGAGGCCAGCCCCCCCCCCCCCCAATTCCGAGCGCTGTCCCCAATCCGTCCCTCCACGCAGGAGCTGCCCGACCCGGGGCAGGACGGATGGGCAGGACGGCAGTGCCGGAGAAAAGCCACGGCGTCGTTACGCCGAGCTCCGGCACTGGCAGCGTCGCCGAAAATCCCCTCTCTCCCCCCAGCTGCTTGATTTCACCTCGGCGGCGGGCAAAGCGCATCGCTGCCACATGTGCAAAGGGGTGATTAAACCTCTTGGTGTCGAAAACTAATTAGCTGGAGCCTTTGGAGCAGGGAACAGGATCCCTGGGGAGGGAGGCAGGAGTGTGGGGACATCAGGCGCTCAGGGGGACACACAGGGTGTCTGGAGGAATTTGGGTCACCCTCACCCCCCTACTTCACCAGACAGGGATCCTCCACCGCTCTGTGCACCTTCCGGGCTCAACCCTGCCCGGGCAGAGGGCTGGCGTTGTTTTAAATTGCTGTAAATATCTTAATTTGAAAAATTCACAGCAGCCCCAAAGCCAGCACGGCTGCGGAAAAGCCAAAGCGCCGCCCGGGAGACTTCTGACACATAGAGCCTGGGCGCCGCTTGTTATTAAGCACCTGAAGACACGAGGGACGTGGCAGCTGACCCAGGAGGCGGCAAATTAATATTTTCACCTGAGGGTGGGACTCATCCGGGAGCATGGGTGGCCACAACAGGGCTAGTGACACCCGCCTCGGTCACGCTCGGCTCGGGCAGGGCAAGCGTGGCTCCTCCGCCAAACCGCGGCACTCGGGCGAGTAATCGGCATCACCGACCAGAACCAGCCGGGATCAAAGTCCAGGCTGGGATTGTTTTGCAATTCCTGGGTTGAGATTAGATTTGGCCGCTCGTTTGGTTCCGGGGAGGAGCAAGGGATGGAGGGAGCCGAAAGCCACAGCTCCGAGGCGTCCCCACCTTGCCGTGCACCCTGCAGCTTGGCCCAGGAAGCAAACGAAGTTTCTCTAATGATCTTAGTTTTAAAAAGTGAGAGGTTTACCCTGCCAAAATCACGTTGAGGCTGTTCTGCGCGTCCCTCCTGCTTCAGCTTGGCGCTGGGGGCCGCGCTGTCGGCCTCTGCGCCCTGCAGCCAAGTCCCTCCTTGCCTTAAACTGGGTCAAAACTCCAGGGAATTGGGGCTGCGCCCAAGGGAACGGCAAGAGGCCCTCACCTGAATCCAGGACGTGGTTGTTCCTCAGGTCAAGTATCTGTATGCAACTGTTGAATTTCAGCAGGTTGCCGAGCTGAGCCGAGTCCTGCAGCCCGTTCAGCTTGTTATCGGCCAGGTAGAGCTCCCGCAAGTTCATGTTCATCTTCAGAGCCGTGGCTGAAAAAGCAAAAAATCAGCACCTCGACCTGCATCCTGCGCCGGCACAGCTTGGTCCTGGCCTCGGGAGCGTTACAAGCGCCCAGCACCCACAGCCAGGGTGCCTCGGGGGAAATCCCCGGCCGGACTTTGGAGGTTTTGGGCCAGCAGCAGGATCCCACGCAAACCCCTTGTTGCCTTCTCACCCGCAGCTTACGGCGGCACGAAGGGGCTGCCCGTGGCCGGAGCTGGTATCGGATTGGCGCAGGGCGCGTGCCCTCACCAGCACGTCGCTTTTATATAGCTCGGTCAACCTAATAAACAATTAAACCCCAGAAAGGCTCCCCTGCCAGAACCCTTAGCTCATCGCTGCTATCACAACACTGGCCCGGCTGGGATTTATTGCTAATTCGTTAGCTTAACGATGGGGGCCGCCCAGAACTGGCTTGCACCTACTGCCTGTAGCATGGGCTGGCACAGAAACACCCTATCTCCCCCACCACTGGGATAGACGACGGTGAGCCCGGCGTGGGTACAGCTCTACCCTGAGCCCCCGGGGGGCGGTTTTTGGGGACAGGGGTGGGTGCCCGGAGCTCGGCGCCGGCTCTGCAGTGACTCACCCAGGAGCATGAGCGGGCGGCCGGAGAGGCTGGCGTTCTCCAGGTGCAGGACGATCAGGCTGCTGCTGATGCGCAGGGCGCGCGCCACGAAAGGCGCCGAGTGGTCCAGCAAAGGGGTGTTTCGGGCATCCAGGTACTGCAGGCAGTTGGTCTGCGGGGGAGAGGCGAGAGGGATCGGCCCCCTTCTTTTTGGGGCTGGGTTTTCTAGGTCGGGTTTAGGGCTGAGCTATTTTACAGGCCAAGTCCCATCCTGGCCACCGACGCCGCTGCCGAGCCACTCAGATAAGAGCCCCTTGGAGCGCTTACGTCCATCCAAAACCTTGGGTCGGTCACCCCACGGGCTCCAGCTAAGAGCCAGAAGGAGACGCTCACATAACCCTCACGCTCAAAAAGGACCATTCCGTATAAAATACCTTATCTCCCAGAGAATCGCGCTTCAGGTGACTGCAGAAACGTCACGTTCTCCAAATAAAAGCTTCCCTCGTCCTCGCGCATCTGAGGATGTGCTGCCCTGAGCTCTCCAGGGTCGGGGAAGGCGTCGAGCCAGGCGCCCCTGGGGTCTCCCTGGCTTCCCACACGCTGTCTAGCCCTGCTTGGGACCCGCAGGTCTCTGTTTGGCTGATTCACCGTTTCCTGTGCTACCATCAGCCCTTCCACACTCTGGATTCTCCCTCATCCACCCCAAAATTAAGACCCCCCCCAGCACCAACAGCATCTCGAGGTCCTTCGCCACACACGGCCGTTTTTAAAGCCTCGCCACGGGGTCAGCCAGCCCTGCGCAGGGATGTTCAGCTTCTCCGAAAAGCGGGGGTACGCTACCGGACCCCAAGCTTTCCCGCCGGCATCCAAACGAGCCACTCCAGGGGGGGTTATTTGGGGATCAAGAGGGGCTTCGCCCCGAGCCTCCTCTGCACTCGCCTTTCGGCGCGAACTCAAGCGCTGAACAATGAGGTTAATTAGCCCTGCGAAGCCAAACACTGGTGCTCGTCATCCTGCTGTTAACGATAATGAACTCCCGGCTCGCGCGGCTGACCCTGCCAGCACGCCACTAATAACAGCCTGCTCGCTAGTTATTTATTTATTGATTTATTTACTTGCTGGGATCTGCATTTCCATTTTCTCTGCTCGCCAAGGCACTAAGCAACCTCACGGCAGGTGGGAAAGGTGATTTTTGATTTTTTTTTTTTTGATTTTGATTTTTTTTTTTTTCCCTGCCTCCGAGCCTAACCAGATCTCTCTGGACCGGGTGGTTTTCTTGACAAAACCACATTCACAATCCCGGGAAGCACACGAGGCTTTCGGAAGACTCTCCCAAGACCACCCGTGTAGCCGGAGGGGGTTAAAGCGGGTGCCAAAAATATTTGTGAGTGAGCACAAACCTTCCTCATCATGTGGGCGGCCGCCTGCCAGCCTCGGGTGCCGATGTGTTTGTTGAAGGAGATGTTGAGGTGCGTCGCCGACTCGTAATACTCGATCATGTCAAATAACGCCGAGGCACCCTGCGAAACAAAAACTGCATTACGCTGGCGGGCAGGGGCTGAGGGTGGGTTGAGAGGGGAGTAAAATAAAAAAAAAATTAAAAAAAAAAAAGAGGTTTTGCTAGGACACGGGTGGCTGGGGCACAAGTGGCTCCTCTTGCACAACATCACATCACCACTGCTCACAAAAAACTATAAAATAAAAAGGCGTCTTGCCATATTCCGGGCACGTGCTGGGGGACTGTCACCCTGGTTATGGCACCAGGGACACGCAGGCACTGCACTGAACGACGCTTCTGAGGACATGGGAAAAATGTTTTGGTGTGGTTTTTTTTTGTTTTGTTTTGTTTTAGTTTTTTTTCCTGGATATTCAACCTGAGCTGAGGCCGGGCTATCGGCTCAGCACCTTTCCACTCCCTTTGGGATTATCCAGCCCCGTACGCAGCAGCCAAGAAACCACCCGATAATCCAACCAGGCTGAAAAAAAATGAAAGGTATAAAACCCAAGGCTTGTAACAAGGTTAGGAGTGAAAGGGATTAGCAGAGCAGGACTCGTGCTTGTGAAATGTCTAAAACTCCTTTGGCAGAAACGTAACAATTTGCTTAATTACATAATGAGCCTCTTCAGAGAAAATTAGCTGAAACATATGCTGGAGCGGCCAGAGAAGAGCCACAAAAGCGCTGCAAGGCTTCCAGAAAAAATATGCCGAGGGCCCTGGAGGGCTGGAAAACACCGGCATGAAGGAAAAGGAGGGAAAGAACAGGTTTTGGGGAACAACAGGACTTTCTGCTGGAATCGGGGTGCTCATGGGCAGGGAAAGAATCTGGATGCTGGGTGACTAAGTCCCCCAGCGTGACGCGCCCGAGGGAAAAATGCTACAGCTGAATCGGCGGGGCTGGGAGAGGAGCAGGAGGGCTCGGGGGCACGTCGGGCACCTCATGCCCTGCTCGACTGCTGAAAAATATAAAGTGTCGAGGCCTGCCAGAGCTCTGCCTGTGCCATCCGGCTCTGGAGCCACGGGGTACGTTTGAATTATTAACAAATAATTGTTCCTCCTGCAAGGTAACAAGTGGAACAAAGCACGGGATTGTTTTACAGCTAAAGACAGTGCGAGCTCAGTCGGCCCGGCCCCCGCATGCCCCTTGCTGGGCTGGGGACTCATCCGTCCCCCCAAAACGGCCCCGTCCTGGGGCTGTGAGCCTCCCCCAGTGCCCGCGGGATCCCGGCTGGCCCCAGGATGGGACAGGGACAGCCAGACACCGCGGTGGCTCAGAGCCAGAGCCACCAAATCACATTTTCCCTCCCTTCATACCCAATGGGGGCAGCGGCCCGGAGAAGCTCGTGGCTGCTGAACCTTCCCAAAGTGAGGAAAAACGGGCGGAAAAAAAGCATCAGGAGCTTCTGAGCGAACACGGACAAGACAGGTCCGAGGCCGGGTTCAGGGTAGGGATGGATGACGCAGGAGAAACAAGATTGGGATGTGCCAGGCAAGGGGAACTTGGCATCAGAGCTGGCTAAAATAATTTTTAACCACTTCCTTAATTTTTAACCTCCTCCACTTACCCACTGGGGCTTGAACTGTAGGGCCTCAGGCATTGTGAGGGAGGAGGGAGGCAAGTTGGGACAGGATGGGACGTGCCAAAGGGAGCTTGAACTTCATCCTCAGCCCCAAAAGCCATCCGAGAGCTAACTACGATTCCCTCAACTTCCAGAACAGCTTTTAAAATACGTATTTAAAATGCTTCGGAGGTTGGTGGCCACCCAGGCATTGGATCAAGCGGTTAACCCCTTCCTTTTGGAGCAGCAAACGCTGCGCCAACAGACCTAAATAAGAGCATGGGTGTGAAGGGAGTGGGTACAGCAACACAAAACAGCCCCCCAAAAATAAATCCGGGACTGGGAGGTGCTCAGGCCTGGCCACAAAACCCATGTGGTTTGTCTTAGCTGCAAAACAGGAACAAGAAGCCAGGAGAGGTCGTGGCCACTTACGTCTTCATCCAAGCTCGTTTGCTCCAAATCAACAATTTTGAACTGGACCCGCTTGAAAATTTCTTCTAGTGCCTCGCAGGCTTTGTAATCCAGCTTCTCCCCTGGGGAAAACAGCAGAAAAAGGTGAATTTGGGTGCTGCAGCACAGGGCACACAGGGCATGTTGGCCATGAGCTCGAGGGTCCCAAGCTGCAGGATGGGGGATGTGTGAAAAAGCGACTTCTTCCCCGCCCCGGGGGCAGCCCACCCTCCCGAGAAGTTGCCTGAAAGGAAATTCAAACCCAATATTGCGTGTTCAGCGTGGATTTATTCACATGTGCTGTGGAAAGCGTCACAGAGCAGCCACAGCAGCAATGCTTTTGCCACCTAAAACTTGCTGAAAATGGGGATTTTTTTTTTGGCTCCCCGTGGGGCTGACAACCGTCTTCCCCACGAGCCAGCCCCACGCCAGCTCGAGCCCCTGTGGAATTAAGTTTGGCAGCAGCGGTGCTCGCAATGAGTGGCCAGCTGATTATTTATTCCTTTTGCTATAGAAAAGCACCACGGGGTCGAAATTAAATCCCCGCACACGCACTGTAAATGCACACGCTGTTTTGCTACCTCTGACAAATTAAATGATTCACATTTCAGTTTAGGGAAGCGATGGCACAAGCTGCCATGAGAACACTTCCCAAGACTTTGGGCTTTTTACTTACTTACTTTTATTTTTTTTTTTTGATTTCTTAGGATCATCCCGGCCAACCCTGCACAGCAGCCAGTCACAGAGAACCCACGATGGCTCATCCCCCTCTGGCTTACGGGGCTGCAACTCTCCCCCTATGCTGCACAAGCTACTTGTGGTTGAAAAATGGGCAATTTTCCCCAAGAAGCAGCTGTGATGGTGGTTTTTAGCTGTCGCATCAATTGCCAGCGGGTGATTCTGCAAGGCAAACTGCAGCAGTGGAGGTGGGAGCTCTGCCTTCCCTGACACCGGCAGCTCCCGGCCCCCATATGAAGACCGGGGTGACTGACAGCCAGGCCTGGGGCACCATCGATCCCCTCCGAAATACTGAAAGCCAAAAATCCAGCAGCAAACAGTCACCCACTGGGGTCTCCAGCAGCTTCACTTCTATGGGAAGGGGGACGTGGGCTCCGGCTGCCCACTCAGTCAATGAGAGAGCGATTTGTAAGCAAAAAAATTCCTGTCTGGCAAAGCTGAGTCCAAATGATGGTGACGGGGGCTGTAAAAGATTTATTTTTGGGGAGGTTTGGGCAAGCTTGTGTTGTTGCTTCTCCAGGAGAATCAGCTTAGGACACGGACACCCTGGCTCCCCATGCAGAGAGGTATTTTCTCAGGCTTGTTAGCAGCTCCCCAGTGGTTTCCCCCAACACTAAATACATTAATTAAACTCCAAGGCTGCAGCCCCCACAGATGGCTTCTGTCCCTGGAGCCAAACTGGAGTTTACTGGAGAAAACTGCATCCCTTTGGCACCCAGAGGGTTTTGTGGGAAGCCGGGATGTTGTCAGGATGACGCGGGGCTGAAGAGGAACGCCACCAACGCCACCACCGCTGCTGGTCGCCCAGGTTGGTTTTGGGAGGATCCCCCAGCACAGAGTGGGAGAAGAGGCTCTTTAGGAAAGGGAAGGAGACGGGCAGAAGGCAGGAGAGGCTGCAAGAAGAACTCCCTGTAAAATATTTGCCTAGCAGAGACTTTGCAGGGAAGAGAAGGCGACCTCCTTCCTCTCCTTCCTGGAGATCCTCTGCAAAAGCCATCGTTCACGAAGACGTTTGCAGTAAGGAGAATTAACTGGAACCACCTTTCCAGCTTTTCCCGTTGCATGAAGAGCTCCTAAGCATGAGTTGGAAAAGTACTGGGGCAAGCCTGCCATGGCCCAGCCCTAACTCGTGCCCCGAACGAGCTGTTTTGGGAGGTGGTGAGGGACATGCTGCTGCCCAAGGGGCCGCTGGAGCTATTTCTGTTGCTGTTTTGGTGCTCCTCGACCGGGACGTTAATATTCCTTGTACAAAACCACCTCTGGCACTCACATTTCTGCTCTTGCTGGGATTAAGGTGCTCTCCTGCTCTAGCTGCAAGAGCCCCAGCGGGGACCACAACTCTGGCAAGAGCCGCGCCGATGGGGTAAACCCCCAGGATTGCCCAGAAGAGAAATCAAATTCCCTGGGGATGGAAAAGGGCTGTACCTTTCAGATCTAAGCAGTCTATCCTGGGAGCCAGATCTTTAAATTCCTGCAAAAGAAAAAGAAGTGTTTCATACTCAGGAGGAAGAGGAAGGCACAGGGGGCGAGGAGGAGGGGGATCAACACGCTAGAATAATGAGGTAACATGACAAATCGGGCAAATCCTCCCCCAAATGGAGAGGGGATACGGGAAGTCTCTGCCAGATGTTTGCTTGAAATCAAAGCTGCCGCCTGCGGCGCTTTGCAGGCTGGATCCGTGCGAGTCAGAGGGAGGGAGAGCTGGTGGCCTTCCCCGGGACAAGGTCTTGGAGCTCTAGGAGGAAGGGCGGCTGATGAAGATGAGGGTCTGTCTGTACATGGAAGCACCGGAGCTGCCTGGGGAAGCCCCAATGGGTGAAAAATTAAAAAAATCTTCCCTCCTGGGCCAAGGGAGGAGCTTTAAACATTTAAATGGGACTTTAATTCACCCCGTGTGAGGAGGGGAAAACCACAGCGCCCGGCGCGGTCTCCCTGCGGGCTTCCTTCCCCCAACCGCATGCACAGATTGCTATTTAAAAAAAAAAAAAAACCAAACCAAAAATCACACGTGAGGCATAAACTGCTTTGCCAAGGAGCCCCTTGCAGCCACCCCCACAGGGTGGGCCTGAGGAGATGGACGCAGCTTCAGCGGGGAAAAACAGGGCCTGGGAGGGCATTAAATTACGCATAATATTTTGCAAGCAAACACCTTTGCTTTTGCTCTCTGCGGCCAATTTTTATCTATCCAGAAACCTCTCTGTGCTATTAAAACAGGAGCTTTTGCTCCTGTCTGACACACCAGCGACGACGACACCTGCACCAGCTATACCTGTATCTGCTTCAGTAGTTTGGGTATCTGCTTGCAGTTCAGTTTCTGGCAGGCTTGCTTGTAGGCGGTCACGATTTCATCGACAGTCACGTTCTGGGCTGAAAAAGCACAGGGTAAGAATTGAGGTTACGGTCATACCGGCAGGAAACAACACGTCTGCGTCCCCCCTCGTCGGATGCCACGATCCGCTGGGATTTACACCTGGCAGAGGAGCCTGCAAGGAGGTTACGTGGATTAAAGATGTTGAAATGCAACACGGCAAAGCAAAAACTGAGCAGGGCTTGCTTGAACAGGCCTAGGGGAGCAAGCCCTGTCTTGCTCGGGTAGAAAAGGGACCAGAGAAGTGCAGCTGGCGCCTCCAGCCTCCTCCAGCTGCGTTTTGGCATGAGAGCTGCTATTTTGGGACAAAAAAAGCTTTTAGGAAGAGTCATGGTACAACAAACTCCAACTGGGGGGGGGTCAGCAGGTTGCTGTGGTGGTTAATAAATAGCTGTGTCAAATCTTGGTTTTAGTTTCAACTTTGTTTGGTTTTTTGTTTTTTTTTTTTCTCCTCGATTTGCGGGCGCAGAGCTGAACAAGGTGCACCCATCCCTGCGTATAACCCCAGATTTTCCTTGACCGGCTTCCAGAGACAGCCAGAGGACTCGGGGGTCAGCCCGAGCCAGCGAGACATCGGCTCCCAGAGTTGTCATCCTCTGGTAAATACATCCTCAAAATTCAGCTCGTCGCCCGGGAGGGAGGCTTGGCTGCCGTCACTGCCGCCAAGCTCGGCTCCAAGCGGCATTTACTCACCGCTTCTGCCTCCCCCTGAATCATGGGCAAAGCTGCCGCTCCAGATGCCGGGGAAGCCGACGCGGGCGGTGGGACCTGCCACGGGATCATGAGCCACGTGAGGCGATGCCAACCTCCGCTTTTGGCGTGATTTCGGTTCGGCGATCGGCCCGAACAAACACTAAAGCCATCCCCGGTCAGAAGAGGAGCTGGAGAAACCAGATTCCCCAGGAACCTCATCTGGCAGAGCACGAGGCAACCACCCTCCTCCCATCCCCGAGGATTACGACATCGAGAGCTCGATAAAATCCTAAACACTCTACCAGCAAAAAAAAAAAAAAAAAAAAAAAAAAAGATACTATTTTAATCTTCTCCCTGTCCACTACAAACCCATCAGGCATCCTTGCAGCAGGACACGCTCAGAACGACACGTGGCAGAGGCTGTGCTGTGCCCCAGCTCGGCTGCGCCACCCAAAAAACACCTTTTTGGCCGTTTTTAGCTCTACAACCCTTCCCAGGTGACTGTGGCGAGGTTTGTGGGGACAACTGACACCCCGCCGAGCAAATCAGTGAAGGTTTAAATACACCCCAAGCGAGCACTTGGCTAGGCAAGGCCTAAGAAGAGCTTTTTCACGCCTCAAAAGCCCCACACGACAGAAAACATTTGTTCTTCTGGAGCAACGTGAGGCCGGGTCGCTGATTCCCCGGGAGCTGAGGAAGGCGTCGCAGAGAAAGACCCACCAAGGCTGAGCAAGCCCCGTGTCTAGAGGGGAAAAAAAAAAAAAAAAAAAAAAAAAGAAATATGAAGGTTAGTGAGGGGATTAGCAGCGCACCGTGCCGTTTCTGATGCTGTCTGCCACGTGAATGCTTTCCTCCCCAAAAAATCAGGTGTGGTTTTGGGAATAAAGGAGTGTCACTGCTGTGCCAACGTGGACGAGCACCCCAGGAGCGCAAGGCGAACCAAGGGTCTGTGAATCCAGCTCCAGAACGGCCTGGAGGAAGGACTTCTCCCCAAATCCGAATTTAAGCATATTTTTAATACTAGTTTTTATCAGTTCTTGGCAGTAAAATGCTTTGGTTTGTCCTCGCCTGGGCGGAAGTCCCAAATTTTAACAACCGTTGTTGCTGGAGGATGGGGATTTGCTTTTGCTTCCCTCGGCGCACATCCTGGCACATTGCTGCGCCCGTGCTCGCTGAGCCTCGCCGGAATTCCAGCAGGAAGAAGCCACGAGCCTTGTGGTCCCTCCGAGCTGCTTCCAAAGCTGCCGACGTCCTTCCCCCCGCACGCCGAGGCGCTCGCTGTCCTGTGCAAGCCGAGTTGGGCTGGCGCCACGAGGATCCCAGCAACTCCCCGCTCCCGCAGAACTTCCCGGGGCGATTTCGCCCGCGCGGCTGAACGCCGGCGAGCGGATCCAGGCGGCCACTTCTCACCTCCTCCTCCCAGGCCTCCTCCTGGCTTCACCGCCGAGTCCGTTCCCACCTCCCAGGCGAACACCCGGAGCTCCCGCATCTGCTGGGTGTTGGAAAACACCCGTTTACCCCCGAAACCACTCACGAAACCATACGGGCAAGACCAAGAATGCCAGCGAGCCCGGCAAACGCTCCATATGTCCCCACCACCAGCCATCCTGGCGGCATTTCTGGCATGAGGCGGCCCAGCTGGTCTCTAAGCCGTCAGATCATCTCTGTGGGGCTGCTGGTAGGAGCAGTTGGGATTTGATCTTGGTTTTTCTCCTGTGAAGCCTTTAAGGAGGTTAAACGCCAACGCTGAGCAGCGGTTCTTCTTCCTGCAAAGGCTCAGGCTGCGCTCCAGGGCCACCTTGCTCTGCTGATGCTCAGAGCCACAAAAAACCCCATTCTTCCTTTTGCCCAAACCATGCATCCTTAGGATCAGCACCAAGATCCTCCGAGGGAATTTCCTCACTGGATACTGTGGGTTTTAATTAAAAAAAGATCTTTATGCCGGTTTTTAGAGCATTCCTGCTCACTTCTCTTTGCAAAGAGCCGCTCTCCTGCCCATCTGTGCTAACAATGCCTGCAAGTCAACATATTTTCTGTTTGAGCTTCATCTTGTGGCACACCAGCAAATATTTGCAGGGGCTGTAACATCCGCCTTCAAAAAACCCTTGAAATTCTTGGGAAAGGCCTTTTTTTTTTGCAGAGTGAGGGCCGAAGCCCGGCCCGTGGCACGTGTTTTTCAGCAGCTCCGGAGCTGGCAGAAGGGCTTTACGCCACTGACGCCGTCTGTAAAACAAAGCTGAGCTGTTCTGCAAACAGGTTTGATAAAAATACATATTTACACACAGTTGGGCGGGCGACTGGGGTGAGCAAAGCACGGCTGACTCCTGGCTCAGGCGGAATTACTTGCAGCTTCCAATACTTTTTAGAAGATAGTTTTAGAAGTTTTAGGCAGAGCGGGCTGGAGAGCGCACAGGTTCCCATTTGGAGCATCCCCGACAGCATCCTGGATCCCCTTTTCCTTAAAGTCTGCCCCCAAAATTATCCTGTTCAAGGACAAAATGAGATGGAAACCAGAGCTTGTCTCACAGTGCCGCAGGTCCCCCCAGGAGAGCGGCGGCTGCACAATACTTCAATGTGTTTCCCTAACAAAGAATTAAGTTTGATTACCCAAATGACAACTGGCTTTGACCCCGCTCACATCCCAAGTCCCTCTGACATTTTAAAACCCTATGCTAATATCCCCAAACAGCGTTAACTATCTTATTAATTAATCTCTTTATTATTGCTCAGCGGATTAAGATCCGAAGCGTGATAACGAGGATATTTCCCAACCTCCTGTGTAACTCAATGTGTTTCATCCGATAATTTTCTACTAATTTTCGCCCACAGCTCCTGGCAGACCGGGAGCTGCTGCAGCCACGGCATGGGCACTGGAAAACACAAACCGCTGCCGCTCAGCCAACGAGGCACCGGCAGGAAGCCTGGAAAATGCAGAAACCGCCCCCCCCCCCCCCAAAAGGTCATGGCTAGAGTTTAAAATGCAAATAACACTTCTTCCTGTGACAGACAAGTCTCGCGCTGCTCTCCTCCTCCCGGTCACCAAAAGCACTGTTTACGTGTGTTGAGTTCTTCAGGGATTTTTTTTTTTTTTGCTGTCTCTCTGTGAGGAGCCCCCAGCGGTGCCGCAACAAATCTGGATCCCCCAGAAAGAATCCCCAAAGCCCCTAAGATTTAACTTTCTGGAAAGGCACTTAATCCCCCGGTGGATGCCGCAGAGGCCACGCTGCCTGAGAGGAAGTGTGGCACAGAGGAGGGACCGACCAGTAAATCCCAGTAAAGCCCAGTGTTTCGGTGCCCCTGAAATGCTCCTTTTGCTTCACCTGCTCCTTTGGCCACGTCCAACCCCGGGACGATGTGACGCCAAAGCAAACAGGTCGTTATTTATTAACAGGCAGCGTGAGCCGCCAGCTGCAGCCCGCCTGTCTCAGCCTCCACAGCTCCAGGGAAGAGGGAAGCTGATTTTTCACAGGCTCACGCCACACTCCACTTAGTTTTGCTCTCTGCGCTCGCTTTGAGCCGGGGCCCGGGAGGCAGAGCGCACGGAAAACGAGGCGGAAAGCCAATGTAGGCGGCAGGGACGTCCCTGTCCCGGTGCTGCTTGGTGAGTACGTCCCAAAATCCCATCAGCAAAGGAAAAAGGAGGGACTTTAACGAAACTTAACGGAACAATTTACCATCCCGGAGGTCACTGAGTGAGATCTCTAACTCTTTGCCTCCTGCTGCTGCTTCTCCCAGGTAAGGCTTCATGTCCCATGTCCCGTCTTCCTGTGCAAAGGGAACGGCAGCTGGAAGAAAACTATTTTCTTCTCTAGGGAAACATTAAAAAAAACCCAAACCAAACCAAACAGCAAAGGAGTCTGCTGGCAAATCAAACTGCTCCTTCGCTCTCGCTCCGGTGGCACCCGACGCAGGGGGAGGAAGGCAGGGCCAGAGTCACCCCAACACCCAGATTTGCTCCTCCTCCAGCGAAAGTCTCCGGATCCCACATGTGGGGGGAACGGCACCCACCGCCCGCGTGGGTAACGGAGCTTCTCTGCCTGACGGCAGCAGGCAGAGCCACGACCTAGGCTTCCTCGCTGCCAGCGTGCCCGGCACCGACGCCGGTCCAAACCCAGCGCACCCCGACCTTGCACACTTGGGCCGGCAGAAATTCCCCTGGGTGATGCCGCTGGGGTTTTTCCACCCGTGTTTCCACACTTGCTCCTTTGTGAGGCCACTGTGGTTTTCCGGCTGTATCCCAGCAAGCGGGTGAAGGCCTCTTTCCCCTCGTGTGTTTTCCACCGCAGAAGACACGTCTTGACAGCAGCAGAAGCCTCCTGCTCCCTTCCCCAAGCGCGGGGGCTCTGAGCTTTCTGACAAGTCAGTTGCTGAAGCAGTAGGAGGGGGGTAAAAGGAAATAAAGGGGCACTTTTCCCCCACCTCATCTTGCACTCTGGCTCGTTCCCCAATGAATAATGTGGCACCCACAAACCACGTGCCTGCGGGGTGCTGGTGTGGCGGGGAAGCCCGGCAACTGTCTAAATCCTCCCCTCTCTGGGTGTATCCAGCACCTATCCCATCCCCTCGGACCCACGCGGGCTTAAAATCAAGATGGGGTTTGTCGGAACACAGTTTGGGTTAAAAACAGGCAAAATTTTGGGGTCTTCTGGGTTAAACCTGGCGCAGTGTCTCCGTCAGCGGGGGTCTGGGGCCTGCAGAGCCCCACCGGCCACGCGGCTGCCGAAGGGAAGGAGCGAGGAGGAAGGTCAGAGCAGAAAATGTTGTAATTTAACCTGACATTGATCCGGGCGAGGCGGCGGACAGGCCGGTACTGCAGCCTGGCAATAAAGAACGAAAGGCAGAAATAATTAATGCTAATCAGCAAGGTTTCGCAGGAAGGAGGGCTGACAAACGGAACCCGACACGGGTGTGTGGAGAGGCCGCTTATCGAGGAGCTCAGGTAGCTCTTGTTGGATCAGGATGCTCTAAAGGTGCAACAGTCCCGTGGAGGGGGGGAAAAGAAGGTTAAAAAAAGAGAATTATGAAAAAAAAAAAAAGAAAGCAACGGTATTTGATTCAGTAAGAAATGTGATCCTATAAAGCGACCGATGGCCTCTTGGTATATGAGCAGGATGTTTCCATGAGGGAACTGCTGGCGTTTGGATATCGCTGGGTTTAAAAATAATCGAGCGTTTGTCTTGTGGGGGGGGAGTAACCGGGAGCAGACAGACCCACCGCCCGTTAAATGACACTAACAACGCTCCAAAACGCGTCTCCTCCTCTGCGTAGCACGAAGCTCTGCAGTAAACCATCCGCCTTCCCCTTCCAAGCCCTCGAGGTGCTGGAGAGGAAGGACCCGGAGCGACGGCAAGCCCCACGCTGCTGCGCGATGCCTGGCAAAACCGGCCCTGCCGGGACCGAGACCTCGGATTCGAGTAGCCAGAAGGAAGTTAAAGGAGGAGAGGTGCGTCCGCCGGAGCAATTCCAGCCGACGAGATGATGAATGAGAGATAAATAAAGCCCTGAATGAAAACAGTTATTATCCACACGTGAGAGGAAGAATAAAAGTGGCGTCACGGGCAATGTGCTCCTGAAGTCAAGGGGAAGGCAGGTCCCAGGTGCCGGCTCTGCCCTGGGTGATACCGGCTTCCACAGAGCCATGACCACGGGCAGCATATGCCATTCCTCTCTAATTAAAGAGGGGAAATCTGCTTTCGGGCCCTTCAGGCTGCGCGCCTTCAGGGGCTGAAGTTTGAGGTTAAATGGTTTGAAGGAAAAAGGCCCCAACAGCCCAAGGGCGTGATGCCCGTCGGGGAGGGGGGGGAAAAGCTCCAGCTCTGAGCCAGCACATGTGGAGCCTCGGGAAAGGCGAGCTCGGCTGGGGAATCCACCCCTCGCGGGCTCCCTCCGGGACGAGAGCCGTTCCTTCGAGAGCTGAGTGATGTCCATTTTCTGGAGCACCTGAGAAAGGCCGGGGGGGAGACGAGCCCCGGGTTCGCTGCGCCCGGTGAATGTTGGCGTCTTCATCCAGAGCAAGATCAGGGCGGCAAAAGTTTTGTATTAATGCGGCTGGGAAGGTAGATAAACAGCAAAAACGCATTGGCCAGCAGTTTTTCTCCGTGGCTGGAGGTATTTCACAGAGGCACCCAGCTACCGGTCGCTGCTGAGCAATAAATCTGGAATTAATTGGTGGTGTGGAATGAGATCTAGCGGCTTTTTGGCCACGGCCGATGTCCGTGCAGTGAAACTGGAATGGGTCTCATCACCTGAAGAGGTGTGCAGCTGGAAAAAACTCAGGAGAAACCCAGTTTCTGGCTTGCAGTGTAATAAAAAAAAATAAAAAGGATTGCTCGGTCCCCAAAAAGGAGGTGTGGCTGCCAGTTACTGATGATTTTTGGTTGGGTTGGGGATAGAGAAACACGGTGTCCGCGTTTCGGAGCGACCGGGGAACCCCGGAGGCATCGTGCTCTGAACCCTCTCCCTCCCTCAACGGGCAGAGGGGCCAACAGCGAAGCCCCTGCCGGGTTCGGAACCCACTGACCGGATCCACGAACGCTGGGGGTCCCGTTCTGGCCATGCCCCCTCATTCAAAGACACGCGCCGCTGCCGGAGGGTTTGGGGTCCGGAGACGTTACCGAAACCTCCGCGATGTTTTACTTTTCCTCCTCCTTCCTCGGGCTGGCAAAGCCTCAGCCACGCTTCGGGGAAGAACCGCTGGTTTCTCCACGCCGAAACCTCCGTGGTGGCGGGGCGGGGGGGACACAGACCCACGGTTTTGGGGTGGTGGTTTTGGCCGGGGGGGAGTGGGCTCGCAAAGGCCACGCGTGGACACCCCAAACCCCGGGTGGTTTCGGTTGGGGAGCGGGGGGTCTCCCCGCTTTGAGGAGCCCAACCCGGTGTCCAAACCCGCCCCCCCCCGCCCCCGCCGCCGTTACCGTGTCTCCACGGGTCTTTGGGTTCCACCGCTCCGGAGACGATGTCCTCGTCGGAGGGGAACGTCACGCGCTTCGCGCCCGGTCGCAACCGCCCGTCCTCGGTTCCCCGGGCCGAGGCCTCACCGGGAGGGGGGGGGGGCTCGTTCCCGGGATCGGGGGGGGCGGGCGCCGAGCCGTTGCCCTGCCCCGGGATCTCCATGGCGGAACTCTCCCCTCCTCAGGGCCGCCCCGGGGGCATCGCCCAGTGCCGGGGGGCCGCTAACGGGGGGGGGGGGGGGGGGGGCGCAGCCTCCGCGCACCGGAGCGGAGCCGCCGCCGCCGCCCGCCAGCGCCGCAGCGGCCTCCGCCTCCGCCGCCGCACTTTCGCCACGGCGGCCCCCGCGGGGGGGGGACACACACACACAGAAAAACGGGAGAAAAGCGGGAAAAACCGGGGGTGGGATAAGGGCGAGGGGTTGCGCTCAGCCCCGCGGAACAGAGAAACAACCACCCCCGACCCCTCCCCTCAGCCACCCCCCCAAACCCCTCGCGGGGGGCGGTGGCGAATCTGCGGGACCGGCGCTGGGTTTGGCCGCCGCACTTTCGCCACGCCGGGGAGGGGGCGGTGCACGCGGAGGGACGGAGTGCGGCGGGGGGGGAGGGAGGGAGTGGTGTCGGAAAAAAACACGCGGGGAAACGCCGTGAGCGCCCCCCCCACACCACCCCGAAGCTCGGTGGTGGGGTTCGGCCCGCCCGGTAACGCGAATCGGCGGCAAAGCAGCTCAGCGGGACGGTGACGGAGTTCCGGCGGCGGCGCGGAAACTCACCCACGCGTGAGCAGGACGCGGCCCCGGCGGTACGGGGCGGGGGGGGGGAAATTTCTGTGGGAGCGGGCAGGCAGCCACCCTCCACCCACGCGTATCGTGGCACGAGCGGGCGGCGCCCCGTGGGTGCGGGGGGCTCCCACGCGTGTGCAGCGCGGAGCGTGTGTGTGTGGCTCCGTGGGGAGCTTTGGGAGAGTCTGGGCGGGGCTCAGGGGACCCGAAGTGGGGTGGCGGTAGTGTTTTTAGGGGCGGGGGGGGTTGGGGGCTCCGTGGGGGCACAGAGGGGTGAGTGTGGGGGGGTTATGGGGTTGGGAGGGGACTGGGAGCTGGGGGGGGGGGGGGGGTTGGGGCCTCTGTGCGGGCCACAGAGGGGGTTTGGGGGTCATGGGGCTGTGGAGGGGGGCTGGGAGCTGTAAGGGGGCTCTGTGTGTGTGTGGGGGGGGGGGGGGCAGGGGTCATATGGGGCTGTGAGGGTCGTGGGGTTGGCAGGGGGCTGGGAGCTGTGGGGGGGTGGCAGGTTGGTTGGGGACCAGCCTCAGGGGGCAGATGTGGGGTGGCAGCAGCTTGAAGGGGGAGGAAGTGGGGGGGGCTCAGAAAACTTGGGGGTCACCCCCCTCCCTTTCCTCTCACTCTCCCCAGGAGCCGCCATGCCGGTGCCCGTGGGGGTCATCCGCTTGCCGCGAGGGCCCGAAGGGCCGGGTCGGGGTTTCAGCCCCACATCCCCCCGTTTCCAAGCGCTTCTGGGGGCTGAGGAGGCGGGGGGGACGACGGCCACCATTCAGGGGGTACGGGCCAGCCTCCGGGAACGCTATCTGCGGGGGCTGGGGGCCGCCCGGGGCCGCCCCACACAGTTCTGTTTACGGGCGGGGGTCCGCGTGGACGCGGTTTTTGGGGCAGCCGACGTGGAAGCCGTGGCCGTGCAGGTGGACGCGCTGCGGACCCCCCTGGGGGTGCAGGCGGCCGCGCTGCTGCGCTGCACCGACGTCCTCGCTTACTCCTTCCTCCTCGACTGACCGTTGGGTGGGGAAAAAAAAACCCAACAGAAAAAACAACCAAACCACACCCACCCCCCACAAAATCATTCCCCCAACTTCTTTTTTCCACCAGAATTATAATTTCAACTGTAAAGAAAAAAAAAAATAGGGGAAGGACACGGGGTTTCCGTCTTTATTTCCCGGCGGCAACGCCATCCCTGTCAGTGCCGGTAGTGAGGGCTGCGGGAGCGGGACCGGGAGCGCCTGTGGAAGTGGGGGGTGTGGAAAAAAGTGGGGGTGAGTGAGGGGGGTTGGACCCCCATTGTGACCCCCTCCCAGGCGTGGGGTGGGGGACATGAGACACACGTACCTCCTGGAGGAGCTGTATTCCCGACCTGCAAGGCAGAGGAGCCACACTCAGGTGATGCTGGGACACTGTGCAGCCCTTTTTTCCCCCAAAAATAGAGCAGCTTTTTTTTTTTTTTTTTTTTTTTTTTAAGCCCCCCCCCTCAGCACTCACTGTAGCGCGGGGACGGGGACCGGCTCTGCCGGCTGTATTGCCTCTCCCACTCCTCCCTCTCCTTCTCCCGGCGTTCCCTCTCCCTGCCAAGAAATAAAATGAGGGTGTAGGTGTGTGTATGTGGGGGGAGGGGGGTGGCACGGGGGGGTCACGCTGTGCCGACCCACACTGCTGGGGGGGCAGGGCAGGAGGATTTACTTCATGCGGATCTTCCGCGCCATTGCCCGCAGCTCATCCTCCCGCTCCTGCAAGAGAAGAGCAGCCTGTTAACCATTCCCCTTTAACCAGTCCCCTCCCATTAACTAGTCCCCATTAACCTGCCCCCCCCTCGTTAACCAGCTCCAGCCGCCCCTGGTTGGACACACAGTGCCACCCTGCAGCCAGTCCCTACCTGTCTCTCATGCTCCTGTTGCAGCATTTTTTCCTGCGCTGCCTTTTTATCGGCTTTAACTGAAAACAAACAAAACAAAAATAATAGGGGGGGGCTCGGGGTGGGGGCTGGGGGGTGTGCGTGTAGGGGTGTGCAGTGGGGTGGGGCATGGGTGCTGCTTACACTGCCTGTTCAATGCCTTCTGCATGCGCAGCTTCAGCTTCTCCTGCGGTGTCAGTTTGGGCTGCAAGAAACCAGAGCTGCGTGTGAAGGGGGGGGGGACACGGTGCACCCACGGTGACCCCAGCTTGGGGACCCCCCCCAGTCACCGCCGCCCCCCCCCCCCCCCGGTGGATCTGGGTGCTGCCACCCCCTGGGTGCCACCTCTGAGTGGGTGGGTGGGTGTCCCCACGGGGTTTGGGTGTCTCTGCCCACATCGGTCACACTCGCACCCTTGTCCCCGAGCAGTGGGGATCACGGCATGTCACCTGTGGGTGATGTGGGGGGACCTGGGTGTGTCACCCGTGGGTGATATGGGGACAAACAGCAGCCGCCAAGGGTGGCGGTGGAAGGAGGAAACTGCGCACACCGCCCCCCACCCACAGCCCTGTGGAGGTGGCATCTGGGGACACGCAGGGACAGCTCCTGGGGACACCAGGGACTTGGTGGCATCAGAGCTACAGGGGACGGCCACCTCTCTCCAAAGGGACGGTGGGGGGGGCAAAGGGCTCCCCCAACCCCCTGCCACCACCTCCCCCCCCCACCCCCCAAAAAACAGTGTGAGGACCCGCCGGGCATGGGGACGGCCGCCAGTAAGACCCCCCTAGCTTCAGTGCAGGTGGCACCCAGTGCCTGCTGGATCCTGGGGTGGGGGGGTGGGGGTCCCCTGTTTCCCACCCCCCCTCCAGAGCCAGGACTGCCCCAAGTGGCCCATGGCCCCCGCCTAGCAGCCGCCCCCCCCCCCAGCTCCAAGGAGGGAGATGCAAGGGGTGGGGGGGGCACCCGGCGCCAGTCCCGGCACCTCCACCACCGCGTCCCTGAGCCTGCTCTGCAGAGATGCCAATTAAACAGGGGAGGTTAAATTCTTACTGACTTTGGCAGCTCCTGTCTCTTTACCAGCAGCACTTTCAGCCCTAAAAAGGATTAAAAAAAAATCCAGAACAGCGCAAGCATCAGCACAGGGGACATGGTTAACCACCCCGTGCCTGTGCGTGTGTTCCCCCCACTCACTTTTTCAGTTTCTCCCCCACGGCGGGCGATGCTGTAGGTCTCGGCGGTTTCTCGCGCACCGGAGACACCGACTTGCTGCGGCTGCGCGAGTCACTGGGGCTCCGGCTGCTCCGGCTGCTGCTCCAGTGTCGGCTGGACCTGCCGCCTCGCCGGTAACGCTCCCCAGACCTGGAACGGCTCCTGCGGATGGTGATGGTGGGGGGGCACACAAAAGCTGATTGGGTTCCCCGCCGTGACCCCAGCGGCGAGTGCAGATGGTGCTGGGGGAACCCGCAGCGTCCCACAGCCCCGGGGGTGAAGCCGCCCAGTAGCAGGCTGAGCGATGGGATGTGTTCCCTTCCCTCTTTTTGGCTGCAAGGACCAGTGTGGGACTCCCACTAACAAACTGGGACCAGGCTAGGGGAGGTGGAGTGCTGAGCAGAAGGGAGAGCGTGGCATGTGGGGGGATCGTTAAGCCCAAAGAGGTGGCGGGAGGGCGGCGGTTGAGCGGAAGGGCGACAATCCCCCGGCCAAACCCGCTGTGGAGTTGCCCAGCGCCGAACTGGAGCGAAACGGGGAGAAACTGGGCAAGGGCCTAGGGCGGAGCTCACCTGGAGCGGCGGCGGGAGCTGTAGCGATATCCCCGGTCGGGGGAATAGGATCTGGAGCGGCGGCGGCTGTCCCGCGAGCCCCCCCCGCCTGAGTAGCGGCGGCTGCGGCTGCGGGAGCGCGAGTAGCGGCGGCTGCGGGAGCGGCAGTAGCGGCTGGAGCGGTGGTAACCGCCGCCGCGGTGCGAGCGGGAGCTGGAGCGCGAGCTGGAGGACGAGGAGGAGGTCGGGGAGGTGGAGGAAGATGAGGAACGTCTCCTGGAAGGGACACATGGGATCGTTGGCACACGGGGGGCGTGGGGAAGGGACCATCCCCCCTACATGGCATCACGCCTCGAGGTTCTGCAAGCCCCCCCAAAACTCCCAGCTGTGCCAGGACATGAGCCACGCCGCTTCGTCCCGGAGCTGGCAGACATTTCCTTAATTTTAGGGCGCAAATTCCAGTCCCCCACCCTGCTCCCGTCTCCACGATGGCTCGGAGATACCCTCGGGGTGGGGGGTGCAGGCAGACGGCCCGTGGCGTTAGGTGATGGGGGGGCTCCCTCCCACCACGCTCTCCCCTCCCTGGTCTCGGGAGCGTGTCCCTGCGGGTAAGGGATGAAAAAACAAGCCGAATAGGAAAAGTTACCGACCGGGACGAGCTGCTATGACCTGCCGCGGTGCTGCCCGGCTGCCCTGGGGTGGAACGCTGTTTGCTGAGCGTGGCGGTTTTTCCGGGGCCACCGGGGGTTTGGGCGGAGGCCGCCGCCGCTTCCTCGTCACTGCCGCCGAAGCTGGTGATGAAGGTGATTTTTTCCTCGTGGCCTGGAGACGGGGTGCGGGAACGGGAGCGGGATTCCGACGTCGATTCCGAGGGGGAGCTGTGAGGCGGCAAGGAATGGGGTTGATGAAAATGCTCTCCCTCCCCAAAACCACCAGGGAGCTGCAGGAAAGGGACATCCCCAGCCCGGAGAAGCCAACCCGCGGGCGCTCACCGTTTGTAGGGATCGTAAGTGGGGCTGTCTCTCCGTGCGTAGCTGCAAAAAGGAAATGGGGAAAACGGTGGGACGTCACCAAGGGACACAGCCAGGAGCCACCCGGGATGGACGTAGGGGGGGGACCAGAGCCCTTTCTGGTGGCGGAGCTCACCTGGGCGGGCTGATTTTCCTCCCTTTCAAGCGTTTCTCCCTGAACTCCCTCCGTTGGCGGCGAGAGCGACGGCCCTAGGAGAGCAGCTTGAGCTAAGAGGCAGCACGGGACAGCGGGTGGGGGGCTTGCAGAGGGACAGGGCAGAGCTCCCCTCACCGAGTACATCGCCTTTTCTTCTTCTAGAGCTTTGGCGTTTTTAATAGCTTCTGCCTCCTCTTTGTCCTTCCGCAACATCCTTTTCCGCCCCCCCCCCAAAAAAAAGAAAAAAAACCTCAATAAGAGCCAGCACCCAGAAAGGAAGCAAATCTTTGGGGGGAGTTTTTTTTTTTTTTTTTTTTTTTTGGGGCGGGGGGGGATCCACATCCTCAGTTCAGCCCCCAGGCAGGAGGGGGAGGCCGTACCTGACGAAGTCGCCCTCGGCCATGCCGTAGGTGGTCGCCTGCTTGTTCAGGTCGGCCACTTGCTCCTGGTTGAGCTCGTCCACATCTACTTCCACATCTGCGGGCAGAGGCACAGGGCAGCTCAGCGCACCCCAAGAGGCAAGGCAGGGCTTGGCCCCTCTGCCAAAGCGGGGTGAAACAGCCCGGAAAAGGGAAAACCGTTACCGATATCAGGGATGACTTCGTCTTCGTCGGTGTTGCTGTCCTCCTCGGAGTCTTCCTCATCGCCCCTCTTCTCCAAGGAGTTCTCGAGCTCAGCCACGGTGCTGTCCTCATACGTGTAGCCGATGGAGGCCTTTTTCTCCGCCAGCCTGGGCACAGACACGCTTAGCCCCCGCCCGCTTCTTCCCTTCAGCGCGGTGCCAGGCCATGCGAGAAGGCATCGGGACAGAAAAATTTCCTTGGGAAGAAACCAGCCCTTCCTCCACCTCCCTCCTCAGCCAGCACCACTCTGGTCGGCCCTGCGACGGCCTTGCGGCCACAGCAACAAGGAAAGGACGGATATTTTGGCAACAGAGAGGTAGGGGACAATTTCAGAGCGTTACCGAGAGCTGTGCGGTCCCACCCCAGTAACGGGGAAACTGGGACCAGTTGAAGAGTGGGTGTTTCTGAGGCTGCGGGGCTGCGCTCCCAGCATCGCCCTTGGGGACAGGGATGTGACTACCATCCTCTGTCACATCTTCTCACACTCACTTCTTTTTCTCATCTTCGTTTGGCTTCTGGAGTCCCCCGTAGAGCTCATCGATGTAGATCTGATAGAGACACTGCTCCTCTGAAACTGCAACGGCAAGTTACCAGCCTGCTTTATGCCCTCCTGAGAGACAACACCTCAGAGAGCTGATTAATCGCAGCTCACTAGAAGGGACGCAGCTCTCCCAGCGCTCGGACACCCCCATCCCTTCACCCTTTGGTTGGCGCAAAGTCAAGCTGGGCTTTCCCCCGAATCACGGGGGCTCGCCCTGTCTCAGCATAGCCCCGACCCTCCCACCTCCCCGAGACACTTACTGCCGGCAAAGTCGTTCTGCACCAGGCCTCGGTACCGCTCGTAGTTACATTTTCTCTCGTCAGACTCCTGCTCAGGGGAGCTGGAAAGGAGCAGACGCGGCTTTTGGTGCTCACAAAGCCTCAGGGGATGTGGAGGTTCCCCTCTCCCCGAGGGGTTTTGGACCCTGGAAGAAGCCACGGCCCCTTTCTACTCCCGTTAAAATCAGACCCTCAGCTGCAGGGAGAAACCAGGGCTGGGGTTTGGCAGTGGAAAAATCACGTGCTGGTCTGGAATTCCTTTGAAAACTCAGCGAAGGAGCAGGAAGGGAACCTGTGGGGGGGAAACTGCCCTCTGCCCCAGGGTTGTGCTGGGACTTGATTAACTGCCTCACTCTAATTTTGGCCTTTTCATCACGCTCTCTTCTCGCAGACCCCTGCAAATTGCTCAGCTCCGTCCTCTCTGATGTTTTAGGTACCGAAAAGCTGCTGTGGGACTCCCCTTTGCCCCGTGCTCCAGCTCTACCCATCCCTCTGTGCTTGCTCCAGCTTATCCTCCTGCTACTGGGATCTCCGTGCTGGTCCCAGTATATAAAGTCTAAAAAAAAAACAACCCTGCCTGCCCTGCAGTGATCCCAGACGGGCTCACAGGCGACGCTGGCTCCGAAACCTCAGGCAACCTCTCCAAAACAGCCCCGAGATGGCCTGATCCAGCCCCGGCAGCTCCCGTCGAAGCGGGGTGCCCCGGCGCCCCACGGCTTACATGGGGTTCAGCAGGGGCGGGGTGTACATGGGGATATAGTCCAGGTGCGCCCGCACGTCGAAGCGATCGATCATGTTGTTCGTGTCCCCCTGCCAGGGCATCCTGTGGGGACAGAGAGGGGGTCAGGACCCCCCCAAAACCTAGAGAACCCCCCCACCCCGGGCTCGGGCAGCAGCGAGCGTGCTTGGCTCTCCTGCATGAGTCACTCCCGAGCGGGGAGGGGGGGAAAACAACTCGTTTGCCACAATGGCATCTACTAGAAGCTCCAGCGGAGCAAAATCCTTTTTATTCAGCTTTTACAAGAAAAAAACAGCCCTGATTCCATCTAGGCAAAAAGTGTGTGGGTGTCCCCAGACCCCTGAGCCCTCCCCAGTGGGTTTGGCAACTCTCAAAGACGCTGCGACCACACATGAGCTCCCATGGAAGGTAATGCTGTCAGTGAGACACCGACCACTCCCCCCAGCTCCCCACCCCCCCCCGGGGAAGCAGTGGGAGCCCCCTCCAGCCCCGTGTGGGGCCACTCACATGTTGACGGGGCTCTCGGCGGCCAACGCGACGGCCGAATCCAGGTGGACCTTGCAGGCCCGGCCATGCACCTGCAGGAACTGAGCTGGGTCCTTTTTCTAGAAGGAGGAAAAAACCCCAGGGTTAGGAAAATTAAAAAAAAAAAAAAATCCCACACAAAACACAACAAAGGAATAAAAACCCTGAGGATTTGAAAAAAAGAGAGCTGGAGCTACAAGCCCTGGGGAAAAGGGGGAGCCCTAAGGCTCCAGCACTGAAGAAAAGGGGGGAGCGGGAGCCCCGGGGAAAAAGGGAATCCCTGAGCTTCAGGAAAATGGGAAGTGGGATCCCTGAGCTCTAGGGAAAAGGGGGATTCTTGATTCTCAGGGAAAAGAGGGAGCGGGAGGCCTGAGCTGTGGGGAAAAGGGGGAGTCCCAAGCCTACAGTGCTGGAGAAAAGGGTGAGCCCTGAGCCTCCAGCACTGAAGAAAAGAGGGAGTGAGAGCCTGGAGCTCTGGGGAAAAGGGGGATTCTTGATCCCCAGGGAAAAGAGGGAGCACAAGCCCTGGGCAAAAAGAGGATCCCCAAGCTTCAGGGAAAAGGGTGAGTGGGAGCCCTGAGCTGTGGGGAAAGGGGGAGCCCTGAGTTTCCAGCGCTGGAAAAGAGGGAGCATGAGCTCTGAGGAAAAGGGGGAGCCTGGAGCCTCAGGGAAAAGTGGAAGCGGGAGCCCTGGGGAAAAAGGGCATCCCCAACTTCAGGGAAAAGGGGGAGCGGAAGCCCTGAGATGTGGGGAAAATGGGGGGGTCCCAAGCCTACAGTGCTGGAGAAAAGGGGGAACAGGAGCCGGGAGCTGGGGGGAAAGAGGGGAGCGGGAGCCGGGGGGAAAGAGGGGAGCGGGAGCCGGGGGGAAAGAGGGGATCCCCGAGCTCTGGGGAAAAGAGGGAGCAGGATCCCCAAGCACAGGGAAAAAGGGGAGTCCAAAGCCTACAGTGCTGGAGAAAAGGAGGAGTGGGAGCCCTGGGGAAAAAGTGGATCCCTGAGCTTCAGAGAAAAGGGGGACCCCAGTCCAGGAGGCGCCCCGAGAGCCCCCAGGAGCACCCCAACTCGGAGGGGGGGCGAGGACACTCACGATCTTCTCGTAGTACTCCCTGCGGCGCTCGGCTCGCTTCTTGTAGTCCACCATCATCCCCCGCAGCTTGCGCTCATGCTTGCGGGCTTCGTGCCACATCCTGGCGACCCCCCCGGTTCGTGTGGGAGGGTGGGTGGGTGGGGGGAACGAAGAGGAGGAGGTGGCGGTGTGGGGAAGGCTGCTCCCTGCTTGGGGGGGGGGGGGGGGGGGGCTGTGTTAGGGAAGACGGAGAGACACCCCCCTGGGAGACAGCAGGCCCGGCCCCCCCCCCCCACACGCGGAAGAAGGCGCCGGGTGCTGGAGCCCCCCGGGGGATTAGGGGGGGCCCCTGCGGGGGGATTTGGGGAGGGGAAGGGGGGGTGTATGGGGGACAGACGGATGGACGGACAGATGCGGCCCCGCCGCCATTAAGCACTCACCGCCGCCGTCAGGCGACCCGGAAGCGGAAGTGAGGCGCCTGCGGAAGAGCCGGCGGAAGGGAACAGGGAGCTGCGCGTTGGGACAGGGGGATGACGTAACGGAGGGGAGCGGACCAATGACAGAGGAGCGTGGACACGGGAGGGCCGCCCACCCGGGGGCGGGGCCTGGAAGCAGGGGCGGGGCCGGTTTGGTCCCGGTGCCACAGTGGCTGAGCTGGCCCTGTCCTGTTGCTGCTGGGCCCGGTCCCAGGGCAATACTGGGCCAGGCTGGTCCTTGGTGCTGGTCCCAGTCCCACTCCTACTGGGCCAGGCCAGTCCCTGATGCTGGTCCCAGTCCCAGGGCCAGGCTGGTCCCTTCTGCTCCCAGTCTCATACTTGGCCAGGCCAGTCGCTGGTGCTGGTCCCAGTCACAGTCCCATGATGGGACAGGCCGGTCCCTGGTGCTGGTCCCAGTCCCAGTCTCATACTGGTCAAGGCTGGTCCCTGTGCTGGTCCCAGGGCCATACTGGGCCAGCCTGGTCTCTGCTTCTGGTCCCCGTCCCGTACTGGGCCAGGCTGGCCCTCCCAGCTCCTTCCCCACACCAGGGTGTGGCCGGGACTTCCCAGCGGGGACTTCCACTGCCAACCAGTCCTCCCAGTATCCCCCCCACCTCCCATACCCGGGGGGGCAGGCCGAGGCTGGGGCTGGAGTCCACACCTTTATTACACCCCCCCCAGTCCCCATCACCCGGGGACAAGGGACCGGGGTGCTGGCACGTCCTGTTCCCCCCCCACCACAGTGCAGGGGGGGCCACCCAGTGCTCCCCCTCCCCCCCCCCCCCATAAATATAGTGCAAAGCGGCTTAAATGGGGCTGGGGGGGTTGTTCCCAGGGGGCTCCGTGCCGCCCCAGCGGGGCCAGCCGGCCTGGGGCAGGGCAGGGGGGATGATAAAAAGGGCCCCCCCCCCAGCTTGGGGCGGGATTAGGGTGCCCTAAATTGGTGCCGAGGGGGGGGCTCAGACGTCCCCCAAGCGCAGGTCAGCTTCTTTGTAGTGCCCGGGGAACATGTGGGTACCCACCAGGCTGGCGGTGGGGTGGGGGTCTGCAGGGGGGAAAGGGGGGGCACGGGGGGGGGGAGGCGTAGGGTTCGGCCAGCAGCTCGGGGCCCAGGCAGGGCAGGAAGTCCGTGGGGGGGTACTGGGGGGGCAGCCCCTCGCGTAGGCCCGGCGGGACGAAGGGGACGTAGAGCTGGGGCAGGGCGTCGAAGGGCTCCGGCTCCCCGGTGAAGAGGGCGAAGGCGTCTTCTGCGGGGGGGGGGGGGAGGGGTTGAAAGAGGGGGTGGAGGAGGGTTTCGGGCAGCCCTCCCGTCCCACCCCGAATAACCTCCTGGGGGGACACCAGGGCTGGGCGGGGAGCGGGGGACATGCGGATGGCTCAGGGTTGTGGGGACCTCGCCCAAATCTGGGGGTGACCCTGGGGGTGGGGGGTTTGGGGACCTCTCCCAAATCTGGGGGTGACCATGAGGCTGCGGGGGGCAAGATTTGGGGACCTGTCCCACATCTGGGGGTGTCCCTGGGGCTGGGGTGGGGACTTAAGGGACCTCTTCCAAATCTGGGGGTGACACTGGGGCTGGCGATGTCTCCTAAATCTGGGGGTGTCCCTGGGGCTGCGGGGGGGAAGATTTAGGGACCTCTCCCAAATCTAGGGGTGACCCTGAGGCTGGGGGGGGTCCCCAGGGGCCTCTCCCAAGTGTGGGAGGACCCCCACAATGAGGGGGGGAAGGTCCCTGGGGACGCGGAGACCTCTCCCACTCCTGGGGGGGCTCTTCTGACCCCAGATCAGGCCAAAATGCTGCCAGCTCCCCACTCCCCCCTCCACCGTGTCCCCCCCCAAGTTGAGCCAGGGGTGCCAAGGGGTCCCCAAACCGCCGTGTGTCCCCCCGCCCCCCCCAGAGGGACACCTACCTGCTGCTGGCAGCGGGGCGAAGTGATCCATGTATCCTGGCGGCTTCTTCATCCTCTTGGCTTTGATCCCATACGGATCTGTGGGGCCGGGGAGGGGGGTGAGGGGAGGACTCCCCCACCCCCAATTCCTGAGCTGGGAAAGGGGTGGGGGGCTGGTCCCCAGTGCTGGGGTTCCCCCCCCACACACCCTGAGGAAGGTTTCTCCCCTCCACAAGGCCGTCTGGCACCCACCTGAACCCGAGAGCTCCTCCAGAACATCAGGCATCCCCCGCTTGCGCTTCACGTTCACCCCATAGGCATCTGGGTTTTTTTGGGGAGGGGGGGGAAGGTGAGCCCCAGGGTGTGTCCCCCCGCCACGCTAGTAGCCTTGTCCCCACACTGACAGCCCGTCTCCAACCCGTCCATTTCCATCCCCACCCCACTGACCTCCCCCCATCCCAAGTGGGGTGTTCCCAAACCCCCGGGGCAACACCCCAACGCCACGAGGGGGGTTGGGGGGGGGCTGCGACACGCCCCACCCCCCCACCTCTCCCCCCAGTCCCAGGGCATGTGGCTAGGCAGGTACCGTGGTCCTTGGGCAAGTAGGTGAAGCGGAAGGACTCGCTGCAGACGCTGTCGGTGAGGCGCTGCAGGAAAACCTCCACCTCCACAGGCTCAGCCAGCTCCAGGTGCTGGTATGGTGGTGTCTTGAAGACGATGGCGACCTGGCGATGGACATCGGCCTGCGAGAAATCCGCCCGCGCTTCCCACGTCTCCTTCCGGAAAACCACTGCAATGTCCTCTGTGGGGGGTGGGGTGGGCCGGGGAAGGGGGGGCGTGTCGGTGTGGCAGTGGGATCCCCCCCTTCCTGCCTTCAAAGTCATCTACCGCCACTTTCTCCAACAGCCCGAGGTCCACCAGCACCCAAAATCCCTCCCAGTGTGATTTGGGGTCCTCCCCCTCCAGCCCTGGGGCCCTTCCCCTCCAGCAGAGGGGCTGGGAGCCTGCAGGACCCCCTTGGTCTCCCCGCTCCAGCACCCAGAGTGGGGTTTAGGAGCCTGGGGGAGCCCAACACCTTTTGGACCCATCCCCAAAACCTTCCAGCACCCATCACCCTCCTTTACCCACATTCTGGCTTCCCCAGAGGTAATTTGGCCCCCTCCCAAGATGCCCTCAGTGTTGTGGGGCTCCCAGTTCGCCCCCAGTACCTTTCTGGACCTTGTCGCAGAGCAGGTAGAGCTCCTCGCCGCCCGTGCAGGGACCGCTCTCCTTGTTCATCCGGCAGATCCGCAGCTCCGAGGTGTTGGTGGACTCTGAGGGCAACGTCATGGCTCAGGCTGCAAGCTGGCAGCTCCCAAACCCGCCTCGGGCACTATGACCAGCCACCGGACTGGGACAGGGCACCAAACCGTAACCCTGGGGGACAAATCCCCACTAGCCACGGTGGGACAAACGCTGGCCAAAGCAGCAGCTCGAGCTGGGCCCCAGTGAGGGACCGGCAGGTGCAGCCTCACCACCCGTCCCATCCTGGAGCCAGACACCGCAGCAGGGAGGGAGTTTTGGGGGTCTGGTGGCCCCACTGGTGACATGGAGTGTGTCCCCCCCTCCACGAGCACGTACTCTTGTCGAAGATGGGCTCCGAGAGCACAGGGCTGAGGTGCCGTGTCTGCCCGGAGCCGTCCTTGTAAGAGGCCTGGAAGCAAATCCTCACCACGTTCATGTCCACCTCTTGATGGTTCTTGAGGGAACCGGCTGAGGAAGAGGAGAGGGGACGGTCAGCGGCCCCCACGGAGCGGGGTTGGGGGCAGCCCCCTGGATCTGGATCCCCCACGGTGATAGATTCTCGGTCCCTTGGAACAGCTCTGCTTGAACCCCTACCTTTGAAGGGGTCGATACCCAACTGCAGCTTCTTCTCTATCGCCACCTCGATCTCCTTTTTCTTCACGCACTGGATGCCCAGGTTGCTAAAGCTGCCAGGGAGCAGAGACGTGCTGGGGAGGAAGCTCCCCCCATCCGAAAAACCCCAGGGGACCCCCCAAAAAACAGCCCTTGTCCTGCCGGTGCCGGTTTCAAGCCGGGACGATGCCAGTGACCCGGTGCGGCTTGCAGCGGGACTTGTGTCCCCCCCCTCCCCCTCGGTGGGATTTACCTGTGTTTGGGGTTGGTTTGGGGCTTGAGGACGACCTCGCAGAGCCCGTTGCTGCAGTCCTTGCCCACCAGGCCGTGGGGGTGGATGCGGTAGGGCCAGTCCTTCCACACCAAACACGCTGTCACCTTCACCTCGGGGATCATGTGGCAGTTCAGCAGCTGGGGAGGGGACACATACACACACACACACGAGATGTCAGTGAGTACACTGAAATGGGGCGGGGGTCCCGTGCTTCAGAGACATGGGGGCGCGAAAGCACCCCAGCACGGACTCCAGCACCCACGAGGGGTCCTAAAAGCACCCCACAGGGGTTGAGTGTCTTCCAGTACCCAGCTGGCACCCAGCACCCTGGGGACACATCACATCGCCTGCACGGGAGGCCTCTCCATTTTAGGACAGGCACGGAGCGCCCCAACCCCCTTCTGACACCCCCAGGCTTCAACCGCGGGGCCCTGGGCTACCTCAGAGCTGGACCACTGGCCATGCTCACCTCGATGGCCGGCAGTGTCTTGCTGGCATCGGTGCTGCTCTCGCCCAGGATGCTGCCGGCCGAGCGGCCCTCACACTCGTAGCGGAATCGCATCCCCCGTTGCTTGGGCTGCTCCGTGATCACCAGTTTGGGCGGCTCCGCCAGTTCCTCCAACTGGTCTTTGCTGTGGCCGGGGGCTGGACACCAGCGCTGCCGCCCGCCGGCACCCGCTGTGCCACGCGGCACCAGTTTGGGTGACAGCGAGAGGGTGCTGAGGCTCTGGGCGAGCTGCGGGGACCGGGAGTCGGCCGGCAGCACCGTGGCACCGAAGGGTGCCAGGCTGGTTGCCAGAGGGCAGGGCTCAGCTGGGCACAGCGGCCGGGGGGCTACCACGGGGCTGGAGCCACGAGCCACCAGCTTGGCCGAGCCTTTTGGCAGCGCTTTGGGCAGGGCGGGGGCTGGATCCAGCTGGAAACCATCCTCCTTCATGACCTCTTCAATAATCTCTGCGGGATGAGGAGGATGTCAGCACAGCCCTGGGAGGGGAAGGACCCCCAAGTTGCTG